TGCAGTGTCCCAAAGGGGTTGCTTATGGCAGGGGCAATGAGAGGAGCAGAACAGGAGCGAGCCAGCAGGCAGGGGCCTTCGGGGAGGGTACAACTGGAGCAGGGCATACTGAGGGAGGTGCAACTGGAAAAGGGTTTACTAACAGCAGGGGAAGTTGGGACAGCCGAGAGGCTTATTGGAGAAAACTTATGGGAAAAAAGAAAATTGGGTGCAGAGTTGCTAAATGATAGGTTGCTGGGAAGGTGGGAGTGGGAGAACGGGTGACTGGGGAGGGGGTGACTGGGGAGGGGGTGACTGGGGAGGGGGTTAATGGGGAGGAATTGGCTCAGGAGGGGGCTACTAAGGGAGGAATAATTGGGGGTTTGAGGGGGAAAGGGACGAGTAGTGGGTGTAAGGTTGGGCGAACGAAGGACACCAGGGTAAGGAGGGGGCAGGCTTAAGCCCTGGGGTGGGGCGGCAGCAGGGAGAAGGGATGAGGGGGGGGAGGTAAATGGGGCAGTCACGTTCGAAGAGAAGGGAAGGGGGAAGGGGGCGGGGAAGGGAGCGGGGAAAGGACAGGGAAAAGGAGGGGATCTGGGAGTGGGGAAGGGAGTGGGGAACGGGGCGGGGAAAGGATAGGAGACGGGCAGAAGTTCACGAGAGTAGGACGAGTGGTATTGAGGGAGTTGAGACGAGAAAGCCGTCTGCTGCAGGCTCGCTTTATTATCACACCCGGCATTAGGCACACTGAGCAAGCCCGTCCCGTTCGCCCGGCCGTAGGAAGAAATGAGAGCACCAACTCCCATTTCTACAGCTGAACCGGGAGCACCAGGGGCTGTAGTGACTCCAGGCGCACTGCAGGCTGTAGCGAACCCGGGAGGGGCACCAGAGGCTGTAGCGAACCCGGGAGGGGCACCAGAGGCTGTAGCGAACTCAGAAGCACCAGAGGCTGTAGCAAATTCAGGACGAGGCACTGTAGCGAACCCCACTCGTCCCTCCGGGTCCGAGAGTCGTTCCCAAGGGCCACAGGCGAAATCAGACACGCTCGCCCTTGCGCACGCAAATCCCCACTTATTTGTGACTGTATCGAAAGCATTAGCACCATTTTCCGAGACTGCACTTCTTGTGACGTCAGTGTGTGTGACTGTATGGGGGGCACCGCCTGGGAAACTCCCAAGGAAACTCCCTAGGGAGCTGCTGGCGGGAAGGCTTCGAGAGAGGCAGGACGGACCAATCGGGTCGCTGCTTCTAAGGGAGCCTCGCTTGCGCTTTGGAGTTCCCTGGGACCTTCCGAGGCTCGGGCTCAGCTTCGGGTTGACGCTCGGGCTTTGCTGCTGCTTCGTGGGCCTCTCGTTCGGTGCCCCGGGAACCAGATCCAGACTGCCGCTGCTGGACCATCTGTATCGCATAGCACCGCTCTCGACGCCAGCAAGTCTGCTGCTGGGGCTGCTGCGAAAAGGAGGAGTGGAAAGAGCGCTGCCAACAGCGCTCCCAGCAGTGCTGGCAATAGCACTCGCAACAGTGCCAGTAGGTGTGACAGCAGCAGCAGGTGTATCAGCAGTGAGTGTGACAGTAGCAGGTGGTGTGACAGAAGTAGGTGTGACAGCAGAAGGTGTGACAGCAGCAGGTGCGATAACCTCCACAGTCATTGCAGCTCCTGCCGGTGAAGCCATCATGGCCAAGCGATGCTGCTGCTTTGCGTCGATCTCGAACCGTGCCATCGCAGCACCGGTTACGATCGCCGTGCTCTTTTGAGGCGACTCAGAATTCGCTGCTGCTGAAGCCGGTGGAGCGGCCATGGCGAAGGGCTCATGGTGATGACGCTGATGATGCTGATGAGGATGCTGATGATGCTGTGCGTCGATCTGAGTCCGTGATGACGCAGCACCGGCGGATACTGTGATCGCCGCGCAGGGTTTATCACGAACCGTCGCGGCTCGAGCTTTGGCAGGGCGGTGCGGCGATTTGGGGTTGTCACCAATCAGCTGCCAGCTTGAAACGGCGGCGTCGTAATCTTGCCACGTGGCAGTGCGGTAATCGCCGTTCATTGCTGCCAGCTCAGCCCACAACGACTCCGTCAATGCAGCCAGATCGGCGGTTATCAAAGGCTGCGACACGTCAGCATATGCGGAACCGGAGGCGGCATTTGCGGCGACTGGAGGCGAAGCGACGGTCTTAATAGCTTGAGCAGCCGGTGGAGCGGCTTGAGTGCCTCCGCCGCCATCGGGGACGGCGAAAGAACCATCGTCATTCGCGAAAACGTTGGCGAAATCAGGTGAAACCACAGCTCTGTGTGCGGCGAGAGGTAGCCTGAGGCCGTGTACGCTCCACCCGTGCGACAGCATCGCCAACTCGCTGTCGCAGCCGTCGCAGAGATTGCGGCCATCAACGCCGTGATCGCAGCACTCCATTCAAACCTCTATTAGTAATTTGGAGATTGAAAAAAGAGTTACCCCCGCGAGATCGGCCGACGGAATAAACGCCGCCGCGTCGAGGAAGATAAGCGTTAATCAACGATCTGACTGAACGTCGCGGCGGCGCCGCTGGCTAGGGGTGATTTAAACGCGGTACACGAAGGAAAATCGATAAATTGCACCTATATCCACTTATCACTGCGAAACATGAGGGGTGATTCAAAGCTCGTCGCGGCGCCTTGTAATCGTCTGCGTCTAAAGAAACTCGTAAGAGCTTTGCGGAAACTGGATTTCAGACTCTGAGCCTCGGAGCGGCCGTATAACACCGAGACACCTCACCCACAACTCATCTAATTGTGCTGCTGATCAGCGCAGCTCAGAGCGGATCGAAGGCACTACTAGGGTTCTTTCCGAGGATGTACATTACGACTGTATGTGTTGCACTAACAGTGCCAGCCTACACGCCACGCAAGTCACTGGTAAGAGCGCACTGCTCACAACCACGAGTGACTTCCATGGTACTGTACTATTACTAGAACTGTATATACTATTTTTAAAGGGGAAAACCGTACGCGTCCCCTCATGGACAGTTCGGTCCTTCTGTCGTCGCATCGCGCGGCGCTCGCAACGCGAACAACCGCTAGGCCCGGCCCTCTGCCAGATCGTCGCAAGCAAGAGTGTGTTACGACCGGCTGATAACGACGTGTTGCGAGCCAACAAGATTGGGTTGGGTCTGGTCGACCTTGTCGACCTGACCATCGCGGCTCGGAACCACAAAGAATTTCTGAGAAATTCTGGCACACCCTCGAAGCACCTACAGCGCAATTGGCATCCAGCTTCCCTGCAGGTTAGGCGATCTGTGACGAGAAACAACAACTCGCTGGACCAGTGGCTACGCAGAAACCTTGCCTCCCTGGCTTTTCAATTCGTACGCGACTGTAAAACGAGATCTGAGCGAGATTATGTTTTCGTTAGCTCAAGTAACTAGTCGCAAACCGGTCGGGATGGGTCTGGTCGACCTGGTCGACCCAAACTGGTCAACCCGGTCCCCAACTTATTTAGGTTGGGTCGAACTGGTCGGCTTTTTCCGCAAATAGCCTTCCTAGAAATGAGGGATCGGGGGAGGTCGCCCGAACTCTTTGGGTCGCAACACGTCGTAACGATGACGCGGTGTGACGCGATTGGGAGACTGAATATATTATTCCTCTCCCGTGAGGATATGGATTTCGATGACCATGACTTGCGGACAGGGCAGCAAGTGGAGGCGGGTTTAGTTGCGAGGGAACGAGTAGGACAGCCGAGGACGTCAGGGCTGACATTCCTTGTTCGGCGTTAATTAATCGTTGTGGAAGAGTGTTTTCGAGAAACTAGGATCGAGGCAGAAAGAGGAGATTGGTCGACCATACAAATTCACGGATATATATAAACGCGGATTTACATAGGAGTTTGCTTATTCCTCGACCCTACCCAAACGTTTTGAAAGTAAACAACGCCGCTCTGAGACACAAAACATCCCACTCCACCGTGTCAAATCCGTCACCGTTGCTGCATAGATGGTTACATGTTTTTTTTCTTCAACTGCTTGCAGAATAAAGAAATGACAATGTGCTGAAAATGTTCAAGTGGCGGGCGAGTCTGCCATATCGGGAAATTCCTGGATTTAGGGGCAAGCGACAAGTGGCAAAGAAGCAACTGGCGAACGACTGTCGTCCGCCTCCAATTTTCGCCAATCAGCGCACACATCCATGCCAGCGCATACAATTCTCGGTCTCCCATACGTGCGTCTTTCAACTCCGCCACACTTCTTCCATTGAACCTAGCCCAGTGTGGTACAGACACCTAAAAAATCCTGCCGTTTGACGCTGGAAAAGGCCCGGGTGCGTGTCGCTTTTGCACCCTTGGCACAACTACAAGTGGCAAATGTCGAATCGGACGAATGAGAAACGGCTCCACGTGACAGCTCTACCTCCAGCGCACCCTGAATCCAGTTGTTGGCAAAACCAAAGGCCGTTATGCTGATGTGGCAGAGCCTTCTGTCAATCACTCTATCTCCACAAAATCTATCTTGTCACCGCAAGTGACAAGTTTGACCCAAAATACGCCTACGGTACTTCAAGTGCGTCTTCCACTTACAGCATGGATCTCAGTCAATGAACATCTTTAAACACTTTGCTTTGGTAGTCTGATAATCAATAATGAACTTTGATACATCTACGGTTCACTCATTCTTCAAGCTATGTCAGTCTAATTGTACCTACACACAATGAGATTCATGAGCGTGCTGGGCGCAACTTGGGTGAGAGACGGAGAGAGCAACGTGCTGTGAGGCGACGAGTTGCTATGAGAATCAGCTGATGAGACAATATGCTGCAAGCAACACAACTCATGAACGTGCCGGGCGGAGCTTGGGCGTGAAGGTGATGGGCGAGACTGTGAAGGCAGAAGCTGTGAGGCGATGAGGTGCTGTGAGAATCAACCCAAGAGAAGCGTTGAGAATCAACTCAGGAACGAGGTGGTCTGAGCTTGGGCGTGACGTGACGGTGATTGGGGAGACGGAGAAGGCAACACGCAGCGAGGCGGTGAGTTGCTGTGAGTTGCTGTTGACACTCAAGAGCGTGCCGGGCGCAGCTTGGGAGTGAAGGTGATTGGCGAGACGGAGAAGGCAACGCGCTGGGAGGCAAAGGTGACCATTCTCCTCTCGAGGTCCGTGAGTGGGCGCTCTATTACCCTCTCCCTCACCGCATCCTGTTCAGCACGCACAGGGAGAGAGGCAAACAAGGAGACAGGGAGGGAAAGAGACACACAAACACACTATCACCAGGTGACTGCCAAGGTGACCATTCGCCTCTCCAGGTCCGTGAGAGGGTGCTCTATCACCCTCTCTCTCACCACATCCTGTTCAGCACGCACGAGGAGATAGGGGGAGACAGGCAGAGAGGCAGAGGGGCAGAGAGGTAGTGAGGCGGATTGCATGGGAGTAACGTTGCTGGTGGTGGTGAGAAGGCTGGCTGATGCAGACCTGCAGTGGATGCTCGCATCGTCCGTGGTGACTGGAGCACAAATAGGCAGACAGGCTCGTGAGCAGACAGACAGACTCACGTTGTTGTGCCGGGCCAGGAATCCCACGTGGTGTTGGTGTGAGGAGCGGGTTTGCAGCGCATGATTGGTGCGGTGTGCGTATTTGTGCGCAGATAGTGTGCAAAGTAGAAAGGTAGTTGTGTGCAAAGAGACGTGTGGGCAGAGCAGACTCACATTGGTGTGCGTATGTGTGTGTAGAGAGACGTGTGGGCAGAGCAGACTCACATTGGTGTGCGTATGTGTGTGTAGAGAGACGTGTGGGCAGAGCAGACTCACATTGGTGTGCGTATGTGTGTGTAGAGAGACGTGTGGGCAGAGCAGACTCACATTGGTGTGCCTGGCCAGGGACCCCACATGCAGCACGTTGTTGGTGTTGCACCACTCGGGATGTAAAGGGGAGGGGAGCACGTGACTGGTGTTGCGTGTGCATGCATATATGTGTATGCAGCACACACAGACGCAGGGTTGTGGGCAGAGGAGACTCACATTGCTGTGCCGCGCCAGGGACCCCATATGTTACACGTTGTGGTGTTGCCCCACTCGTCCACCTCTGTGGGCAGGTCTGCTTCATGCCCTCCTCAGCCAGACTTATGTGTACAGAGAGAGACTTGTGTGCACAGACTCACATTGGTGTGCCGGGCCAGCGACCCCATGTGTAGCACGTTGTTGGTGTTGCCCCACTCGTCCACCTCTGTGGGCAGGTCTGCTGCATGCCTCCAGTGCCCGTCCACTATGAACTTGTAGCGGTAGCTGGGGGGGGAAGGGAGGGAGAGAGTGGATATACGAGGGGGTGCAAGCCAGAAGAGGCAGTGAGAGGGAGCAGGTCCCTGCATGGCCCCAGTGCCCATCCACTATGAGCTTGTAGCAGTAGCTGTGGGGGGAGGGGGGAGGAGGGAGGGGGGAGAGAGGAGAGAGGAGAGAGGGCTCGATGGGAGTGGGTGAGAGGCAGCAGGTCTGCTGCATGGCGCCAGTGCCCATCCACTATGAACTTGTAACAGTACCTGGGGGAGGGAGGGGGTGAGGAAGGTGGAGGAGGGATTGGAGTGGGTGTGAGGCACAGAGGAGAGCAGAGAGGAGGAAGTGAGAGACGGCAGGTTTGCTGCATGGCGCCAATGCCCGGCCACTGTGAACTTGTAGCGATACCTGGGGGAGGAGAGGAAAGAGAAAATGGGAACCCCCTACTGGAGTGCGTATTTGAGGCGACCAAGTTTGGAGGCAATACTTACAACACCACAGACGTACCGTGCAGACGAGGAATGGGCAGTGACTCATGATCCGAAGGGCAACTTGAGAGCAAGAAGGAACTCGGATCCCCCCACTGGAGTGGCGGTGTGGAGCTGCTGGGATGCATACACGACATCACTAGCGAGGGGCCTTGCAGGGGTGGAGTGGAAGGGGACAGAGAAGCAGACACTCACGATCCGAGGGGCAGCCTGAGAGCGAGGACGAACTTGGAGCCCCCCACTGGAGTGGGTGTTGTTGTGACTGCTGGCATGCCATAAATTAAATCACCACAGATAGCCCATGCAGAAGAGAAGAGGATCAGAACAGGTACAAGCAGACACTCACGATCCGAGGGGCAGCCTGAGAGCGAGGACGAACTTGGAACCCCCCACTGGAGTGGCGGCTACTGGGTTCTTCCACCCGCCTGATAGCTCCCCCACCAGTAGCACCTGCAGGAAGGAGGGAGGCAATGGGAGGGAGGCAATGGGAGGAAGGCAATGGGAGGGAGGGAATGGGGGGGAGGCACTGGGAGGGAGGGAATGGGAGGGAGGCAATGGGAGGAAGGCAATGGGAGGAAGGCAATGGGAGGGAGGGAATGGGAGGGAGGCAATGGGAGAGAGGGAATGGGAGGGAGGCAATGGGAGGAAGGCAATGGGAGAGAGGGAATGGGAGGGAGGCAATGGGAGGAAGGCAATGGGAGGAACGCAATGGGAGAGAGGGGAGGGGTGGAACGGGAGGGGAGGGGTGGAACGGGAGGGGAGGGGTGGAGCGGGAGGGGTGTGAGACGAGGCCCGTTCTCGTTTCGAGACGTCTCAAAACTAGGGGTGGAGCGGGAGGGGTGTGAGACGAGGCCTGTTCTCGTTTCGAGACGTCTCAAAACTAGGGGTGGAGCGGGAGGGGTGTGAGACGAGGCCCGTTCTCGTTTCGAGACGTCTCAAAACTAGGGGTGGAGCGGGAGGGGTGTGAGACGAGGCCCGTTCTCGTTTCGAGACGTCTCAAAACTAGGGGTGGAGCGGGAGGGGTGTGAGACGAGGCCCGTTCTCGTTTCAAGACGTCTCAAAACTAGGGGTGGAGCGGGAGGGGTTTGAGACGAGGCCCGTTCTCTCACCTCTCAGCCCCCACTTGAGAACTCTCAAGACTGCATCTCTCGCCTCCCTTATCCGGTGCAATCAGCACTGAGTGGGTGGCAGGACAGTTTCTGTTAACCACATTCTTAAGAAAACCACACACATACACGAGGTGACTTTTGAGTCGACTCAAAAGTCATTAAGAAAACCACACACATACACGACACAAGGAGCCCTCACCTCTCTAAGCCCGACTAAGTTTGCTGCTCGCTGACAACTATGTCAGAAAACCACACATATACTCAACACAAGGAGCCCTCATCTCTCAGCTGGATGGTTCGATGTGATGTGCTCTGGGTGAGTGGCAGAGCAGTTTGTGATAGCCACATTGCCTGGTAAGCACATTCTCTTTTACCCACATTCTCTGTTCACCATCCTCTCTGGGAACACTAGATTGCGTCCGTTCCCTCACCTCTCGCCCCCCATGTTCCATGCAATCTGCACCAAGTGGCAGGGCAGGTAGTGGTAACCCCATTCTCAGGTAACCACTAACCGGCTTCTCTGGGAACAATACAGAATCTCTACATGATAAGTCCTCACCTCTCGCCCCCCGTGGTTCCATGCAATCTGCACTGAGTGCGTGGCAGGGTGGTTGGTGGTAACCCTGTTCTTTGGTTACCAGTACCGGCTTCTCTGGTAACCATGCACACACTCTCTACACAAGCCCCCCTCACCTCGCGCCCCCCGTGGTTCCATGCAATCTGCACTGAGTGCGTGGCAGGACCCGTATGCCTCACCCCATGCCGCAGAATGGCCACCAGATCCCATGTGCCCGCTGCCAGTGCCGCCCTGGGATGGGTGGGGAGCATAAGGGAGAGGGGGTAGGGGGAGGGTGGAGGGCGGGGTGAGTAGCAGGCCCTGTGTGCCGCACCCCATGCCGCAGCATGGCCAGTGGCCACCAAATCCCATGTGGCCCTGGGATGAGTTAAATGGGAGGGATCGGATGGATGGGAGGGATGGGAAGGGAGCAGAGGGGAGAGGGGGGAGGGACCAGGGGGTAAGTGGCCGGTCCTGTGTGTCTGACCCCGTGCCACAGCATGGCCATCAGATCCCATGTTGCCGCTGCCAGTGCCGGCCTGGGATGGGGGGAGAGGGCGGGAGGAGGGAGGGAGTGGGTTAGAGACAGCATAGCAATGAATAATCCTGCCACAGCATGGCCACCAGATCGCATGTGGCTGCTGCCAGTGCCGCCCTGGGATGAGGGAAAGAGGAGCGAGTGGCATGGGCAATCTGTGTCCCTAGCGAATGCAACCAGCACTTCTCAACTCACACAACCGCACTGAACTGCACTGAGCAACGGGAAACCGCACTGAACCACATTAGACTGTGCTGGACAGCTCACCGGTTGGGCTGGCAGGGGCGGGGGTCGCAGACGAAGTGAAGAGCCTGTGGCAACGGTATAGCAAGCACCCAGTGCAGGTATGCATGCACCGAACTGCACTAAACCGTGCAGAACCGCACTCAACCGCACTGAACTGTGGCTCACCGGTTGGGCTGGCAGGGGCGGACGTCACAGACAAAGTGAAGAGCCTGAGGCAACGGGATGGCGAGCACCCAGTGCAGATACGCACACACCACTGCCGGCGCCCTGTCCACCCCGTCTGTATCCATCACCAGCACATGCAGCCACTGCTGCTCAACTCCCAGAACCGCACTGAACCGCACAGAACTGCACTGATACGCACTGCACCGCACTCAACCACACTCAACCGTGGCTCACCGGTTGGGCTGGCAGGGGCGGACGTCACAAACAAAGTGAAGAGCCTGAGGCAACGGGATGGCGAGCACCCAGTGCAGGTATGCACACACCACTGCCGGCGCCCTGTCCACCCCGTCTGTATCCGTCACCAGCACATGCAGGCCCCGGCGCAGCAGGCGGTGCAGAATCCCCACCGCCACTGGGAGCTTTCGTCTCAAGTCATGCCCGTCGTGGTGCCTGGGGTTGGGTAGGTTACGGTGAGTAAGGTCAGGTTGGGAAAAGCAGGATTAGTTAGGGCAAAGTGTGGAAGGGGGCGAGGGATGAAGAGTTTGAGAAAAGGCGCAGCAGGCGGTGCAGGATCCCCACTGCCACTGGGAGCTTCCGCCTCAAGTCATGCCCGTCGTGGTGCCTGGAGGTGGGGAGGGGGGTGAGTGGGAAGGGCTATGTGAAGAGACAGCGGCGAGTGCAGGAGAGGGCAGGGCGGAGATTGGAGAAAGTGAGAAGGTGCAGCAGGCGGTGCAGAATCCCCACCGCCACTGGGAGCTATTGTCTCAAGTCATGCCAATCATGGTGCCTGGGGGTGGTTGGTACAGGAAGGCAAGGCGAGGAGTGATGGGGGAATGAGGGAATCCCCCTATTGATGCAGGAGAGCCAATCCCCTCTTACATCCACACGAGAGGTCCTATTCATGCTATTTTGAGGCGCCTCAAAATACACCTCAGAGGTCCTATTCATGCTATAATCATGCAGCAAACAACCGCAATTAGCAAAGAACCTCACCTGATGGCACGTGTAGAAAGTAGATTGCAGCAAACAACCGCAAAGAATCTACTTTCTACACGTGGATAATCATGCATGCAGCAAACAACCGCAATTAGCAAAGAACCTCACCTGATGGGGTGGTGCACCACCATCACCCCCGCATCCCTTGCCCCTCCGACCCTATTCCATGCCATCCACATCACATGCCCTCTTCCATGCAGTAGCGCCCCCAATCCATTGGCACAGCACAGCAAGCATAAGAACCTCACCTGATGGGGTGGTGCACCACCATCACCCCCGCGTCCCTTGCCTTGCCCCGAGGACACTGGTACTGGTGCACGCTACAACATCCAAGGGCCTATCCATGCCATATTGCCAACCAGCAACACAAATCAGCGTAACAAGCTGGGAGCTCACCTGATGGGGTGGTGCACCACCATCACCCCTACGTCCCGTGCCGCCCGGTTCATGCCATCCACGTCCACCGCCCAGTTGAGCTTCTCCGTGGCTCGCTGCAGGTCCAGCACTGCTGTCGTGCCCTGATGTGAAGGGGGTAAGGGCATGGGAAAGAGAGGAATTGGGGAAGGAGGGGAAGAGTGGGGGCGGGGGGTGAAAAACCATATATGTGCCATCCACGTTGGGAGGGGCGTAAAGAGCAAGGGGAGAGGGGCGAAAAGTGGGGGACACGGAGCGTGTAGAGAGAGGGGGAGGTGGGAACAGAGGGGGAAGAAGGGCGAATAGGGCGGGAGGAGGGGCGAATAGAGGGGGAAGAGGGGGGAATAGAGAGGAGGGGCGTATAGGAGGGGGTACGGACCAGCCTTTGGTGTGCAGACGTGATGTCTTCCGGGCACAGCAGCGCTGCTCCAAACGCCAGATGCTCTGATACCTGGGAGAGGTTGATGAGAAGGGGAGACGATGAGAGTATGAATGGTAGAGGGAGGGGAGAAGCATGGAAGGGGAGAAGCAAGGAAGGGGAGAAGCAAGGAAGGGGAGAAGCAAGGAAGGGGAGAAGCAAGGAAGGGGAGAAGCAAGGAAGGGGAGAAGCAAGGAAGGGGAGAAGCATGGAAGGGGAGAAGCAAGGAAGGGGAGAAGCATGGAAGGGGAGATAAGTCAAGGCAGCTTGAGGCAGGGTGGGTGGTGATGTCTTTGGGACACAGAGTGCTGCTCCGAAGGCCAGATTCTCTGATACCTTTTGAGGCGCCTCAAAACCAGATGCTCTGATACCTTTGAGATGTTGATGAATGGACGAGGAGTGGAGATGAAGGGGATAAAAAGAGGAGAAGGATGGGGGAGGAGTGAAAAGGGGAGGAGTGTATGGTGCCACACCATACACGCACCACTCGCACCGCTCTCCCTCACCTGTGTGTGAGTGGGCGAGTGAAGCGGTTCGAACCTCGAGTCCCCCACGCCTCTTGTGTACGCCTCCACAAATTCATCCACCCGCCCCACCCCAAGCCCCCACCAGCTGTGCTTAAGCCACATCATAAATGCACCACGGAGGCACCACCTTCTCTCATCTCACCTGTGTGTGAGTGGGTGAGTGGAGTGGCTCGAATCGTGAGTCCCCCACGCCTCTTGTGTACGCCTCCACAAATTCATCCACCCGCCCCACCCCAAGCCCCCACCCCTTTCCCCCCCCCTCCACCCCCCCGTCCTTCCCAGAGGAAGCATCCCAGAAACCACGCTCCGGCCACTGCCAATCCGCATCCTTCCGACCCTGCTGCCTCCCCTCCCCGAACCACTCTTCCCTCTCTCCCACCCCCTCCTCGCCTCTCTCCCTTTCGCCCCTGTCACCCCGTTCTCCCATACCCTCCTCCTCATTGCTCTCCCGGCCCTCCTCTCCCCTCCCTCCTCCCATAGCAGCTGCAAGAGCTGCAGCTGCCTCTGCTGCCTGCGCCCACTCCGCACCATCCTCCTCCTCCACCTCTCCTCTCCTCTCTTCCTTCCCTTCTATTCTCTCCAGGGTCGTATCTCCCTGCTCGATCTTCTCTTGACTAGCTTCTTGAGCTGCAGTTCCCATAGCTGGGGCCACACCTGCCCCAGCCACACCTGCCCCAGCCACACCTGCCCCAGCCACACCTGCCCCAGCCTCACATGCCCCAGCCTCACATGCCCTAGCCTCACCTGCCCCAGATTCGCCTCCCCCACCCTCATTTCTTGTGGACGCTTCCCGGTTAGAAGCCCTCTCTTCTGCCAAGCCTCCTTCCCTTCCATCAATTTCGTCAGCTTCGGCGGGCAGGGTGCCTTGGGTTTCAGAGGCTTGGGCGACAGCCACTCGACTTTCCAACCCTGGACCCGAACCAGTTGCGTCCTGCACACCAGAATTCTCATCAGCTCCGGAATCCGGACCTGAATCCGAGCCAGACACAAGTTTCCCCTCGAAGAACGGAAATAAGACCCACTCTGGCTCCGCCTGTGCTTGCTCCACCCGCTCCTTCCCCCCCCTTCCTCCCTCTCCTTTCTCCTTTCCAGACTTCCTTTTCCTACCCCACAAAGTGCCTCCGACTATCGCCCTCACACCCCACCCTCCTGGCTTCTGCGCTTCCCCTCCTTTCTCCCCTACTCCATCTCCCATCCCTGCATCCACCATTTTCTCCCCTCCTCCATGTCCCATGCCCCCGTCCCCATCTGCACTCCGCTCGTCCTCTCCTTTCAACAACATATCCTTTTTTCCCCCTTCTTCTGCAACGCCCACTCCCTCCACCTTACCCCGGTCTTCCGCCTTTCCCCCAACCTCCACCTCCCCCCTATCCTCCACCTTCTCTCCATCCTCCCCACGCCCCTCCACTTCTCTCGCTAACCCTGTCTCAGCCTCTTTTGTATTCTGGATCACTATAGGCTCGGTCACATCTACAGCTGTCCCATCCCCTTGCTCCCCCTCTCTTCTTTCTGCTGCTCCCACTCCCACTGATTGCCCCACCTGTTTTCCTTCTTTCATCCTCACCTCTCCTCTCATTTCGCCTCCCCCGCCACCACCGTCACTACCATCCCCTTGCACTTGACTTAGCGCCGACCCACCCTTTCCCTCCTCTCCCTTCCTCAACTCACTCCCCTCCCTATCCCCTTCCTCCACCCTACCTTCCCCCCTTCCCTGTCGCCCACCCCACTCCCTCCTCTCTCTCCTCCTCTCCCCATGCGGCCTCAGCTCAGAAAACGATACAAGACCCACCCGCCCCACTCCCCCCCGCGTGAACAGTGTCCGTGCTGACATGGCGCTGCTGGCACTGTAGCGCGGCCAGCTGGACGGGTGGTGCCACGTGGCAGCTGCTGAGCGGCCGGGGTTGTTGGAGCGGAGAGGGTGGGAGAGGATAATGCGTTGGGTGGTGGGGGCGTGTAGAGCTCGCTCTAGCACAAACGTGCAAGGGCCCTTGCCGTCCTCGATTGCGGTTCTGTAATGGAAGGGATTGGGTGGGGTGAGAGCAAAGTGTAGTTTGAGTTGAATTGAACAAGGATATGATCATGCACTTGATGGGTGGTGGGGGCGTGGAGGGCTCGCTCTAGCACGAACGTGCAAGGGCCCTTGCCCTCCTCAATTGCGGCTCTGTAAGGGACGGGATTCAGGGGCAGAGCAGACATAGCAAGAGCTTGGACATGCGTTGGGTGGTGGGGGCGTGGTGGGCTCTCTTTAACACGAACGTGCAGGGACCCTTGCCCTCCTCGATTGCAATTCTGTAGGGAATGAAAGATGAAGGTCACACATACATGCATTGAGGATTGAGAGAGAAGGACATACATACACACATAAACACATAGACGAGGGATCGAGAAGCATATACTCCTTATGTATGTTCACACAAACACATGTCTGAGCGATTTAAGGCCAATGACTTGAGTGAGTGGTGTGCCTTGAGCCACTGACACCTGCCTCACCATACCTCTCGAGACGTCTCAGAAGTCACTTACATGAACTTCTGAAGGTCAATCACTCGTGTGGGTGGCATGATACTTACACGAGGGATTGAAGATCAATGACTTGTGTGAGTGGTGTGCCTTGAGCCACAGACACCTGCCGCACCACATCCCCCACCATCACCATCTGCCCTCGCTCTGCGTTCCCCTGATACAATCACAATCGCCAAGAACGAAACGCACAGGACATATCAATCACCCGTTACAGTAACACCTTAAAGCAAGCAAGCGCCAGTCACTTTCCCAGGAATTTTCTCCCAAGAGGGGTTATTCCTTCCCCTCAGTGCGGTTATTCCCTTCCCCTGTACGTACCTTCTCCTGTAGTGCTTCGACATAAACTGCTCCGCTATCCGTCTGGGAGAACCAGATCCCCAGCGGCTTCTCTATAGTCACCATGTACTCGTTCAGGTTGAACTTGTACCGTCCGTCCCTCGCTGCAGTCACGCCCCCACCCTCGCTCTCCCCCTCGCGAGCCCACCCGCGCCGCCGTGTCTCCAATAGCCGCCACGTGTCCCCACCTCGAGTCTGGTTCCCGCCAATGAAACTCCATCGTGGTCGAATCCCATTAGGAATACCGTTTCCAAGATACAGTATTTCAAGAGGTTCTCGTTTGAAAGAAGACGTGGAGAGGGGAGTTACCACGCAAAGCCGTGTTCCTGACGTGACGCTACAAACCGAATCTTTTGAATTCCCTTTCGAGACCGATCTTTTCGACGGCCTTGTCGACTGCCGTATAATGGGTTTTGAACCTCCAGAAAACACTATAGCGCGGCTGGATGCCAAAGACAAACTGGACGAAGAAGTGATACTACGCGGATTTGCTCGAAGCGGACGTGCTTGTAACGAATCACAGCTCCACCGGCGGTTACTGACAATAGACCCACAGGCAGGAGATACGGGAGAAGCTGCCATTGGTTTCACTGATATTGACCCTGTTCCATACCCGATATAGTAATGGAGCCTCTATAACACGCGACGCAAACGTGAAGAATTGAATTGAAAGAAGGCTGGGTGTAAACGGCTCGACGGATGTGGACGAGAATCTCAGCGGGAAGGAGTTTTCGCCTAAATCCCTACGGTCTCAACAACGGCATTATCCAGCCGCATGCTACCCTGACCAGTATAGTACGTCTCGCAGTCAGCAACTAATGACATGAAAATGAATGGCGTGAATGGTTCTTGGTGTTGGGCCAAGTGGTCATTCTCGAGGTCACTGACATGGTCAAAATAGAAGGGCGTAGTTCACGACGATGACTAGAGAGTCTCTAGGGATTACCGACGTGCGATATCTTTTGCGTAACGCGTTCGAAACCTTCGAACTATCGCATCCGTTACAAAGCTGTGAAGCGAAACAGCGGGTTCGGGCAACGAAACGAGGATCACGTTTTCCCGTCATTCTGCGCACCCTATGGGTGGCAACATTTTCCTGAGGGCACCGAACCAAAGTGAGAACACATCTCTAGGATCACGCCTTTGTGTAAACATTCATGTTCTCTATTATCCTCGTTTGTGTACTCTCTACAAGCGATACGATTGAAGAATTCTTGATATCTATCCGAATTACAATGACATTGGGGAAATTACATACAGTGCCACACATATAGCCACTCAAAACAGACAATGACAACATAGGTTTCCCTGTATCACAATGAAAAAACGACACCTAACTGACTGTTATCTGCCAGCCTCTTCCTTCTTCTCCACTGTTCGGTCTCCCGGCTCCACTCCTGCTGCTCGTTGAGGGGACGCCTCCCCATCTGCAGCAGTAGAGGGGGCAACCACAGATGCGCTTGCAGGGGCAATAGCAACAGCAGCAGCAGCAGGAGTATCAGAGGCAGGTTCACCAATAGTGGCCATAGCAGATGGTGCAGGGGTGGTGTCTTCAATAGCCTCCAGAAAAGACACCACTCCGTACCCATCTGCAAACACAGAGAAAGAGACGGTAAAGAATGCTTGCTTCCCCTTCAGGCCTGACAACTTTAGCCATGCCCTGGCCACCCAAGACTTGGGATATACAACATTTGTACGAAGTGCCCACTCACACTCTGAATCAATGCGAACTGCAGAAGTTTGATAACTTTGGAAACCAAGTATGGTGATTCTTGGGTTGATTGAAAAATGGCCAAGCAATTAAAAAAAAGGGCTGTCAAAGTGCTTACACTTGTTCACATCGATGCCAAATTGAGAGAGGTCAATCTTCCCCGCAAGCAACAGCTGCGATTGAGGGTTGAGATGAGAGCAATGAGAGAAACAGGAGGGACAAGAGCAAAAGCAGTAACCAGAGCAATTGGGTGGTGGGAAATGGGCAGAAGATGAGACATGGAAAGAGTGTGTGTGTGTGTGGTACTGCAAAAGAAAGGAGAGAGAGGACGGGTTTGAAAGAAACAATGCTGACCTCAGAAAAGGTGTCCAGCTGCTGCTGGAACTGCAAGTGCGTGGTGGGTGTGCAAGCACGGTTCAGTGTTCGCGTGGAAAAGAAGTGATGCTGACCTCAGAAAAGGTGTCCAGCTGCTGCTGGAACTGCGGGCTCAGCACCAACTGCCGCATATCTTCTGGCTTCCGCAACTCCTGCTTATCAAGAAAAGGCATGAAGGGTGAGCTCAATGTTGTGGTACGAAGGTACCTTCTGAATCGACTCGATAGCTAGCATTGTCTTATCACAAGTCATTGTCGGAATCACAGTCACTAGACCACTGGGATAAAATGGTTTGTTTCAGTAGCGAGTCAGTGCGCCCATAACCCCCCAGGCTAACAGGACTGTAACCCCCCAAGGGTCAATCGGGGATCTCACAGTGCAAGTCTTCTGACACCCCCCCACACTGGGAGGTCCAGGACTCGGCACAGCGGCAACGGCCTGCATGTGCATACACTGGGATTTGAACCCGAGACCGCTCTGATACCATGTCAGAATCCCAGTCACTAAACCACTGGAATAAAAAGGCTTGTTTCAGTAGCGGGTCAGTGCGCCCATAACCCCCCAGGCTAACAGGCCTGTAACCCTCCAAGGATCAATCGGGGATCTCACAGTGCAAGTTTTCAGACAGTCATGGGTCGACACAAGAAGGTAGGGCCGAAAGAGGAAGCAAGAAATCACAACCATTGCGAGAGCGAGAACAAGTGAAAGCAACGGATGTATTTAACATACAGAGAAACGAGGGGATTTAAGATTGACTCAACACAGAGCACGGAGGGTACTTACAGGGGGGAGGAGCTCAGCCAATCTCTGCTGTACCGTGCCATCGCTGAGAGTGCTCATCACGGCTTCATGCTCGAGAAAGGCGTTTTGGAATGCCCAAAACCTACGCCATAGAGCGCAACGGGGTTCTGAGACCAGCCTAACACAGAGCAGGGAGGGCACTTACAGGTGGGAGGAACTCGGCCAGTCTCTGCTGCACAGTGCCATCACTGAGGGTGCTCATCATGACTTCAGGCTTGAGAATGTCTGTCAGCTTCATGCTCCTCGCTCTCACTGCGCATAAACACGAGGGGATGGGCCAGCAGGGCACAACGCACGGGTGTGGGACAGGGGGAGGGACTTTGTGACACTGTGCCATCGTTGAGGGTGCTAATCATGACCTTAGGCTTGAGAATGTCTGTCAGCTTCATGCTCCTTGCTCTCACTGCATGCACACACGAAGGGATGCACACACAATGGCATCGCTGAGAGTGCCCATGAAGACTTCAGGCATCAGAAAACATAGTCCATCTTCACAATCCTTACTTTCATTGCACGCAGTTTCAAGAAGGGAAGGGCCAGTCGAACGTGCACATCCAGTGCCTGACATCATCGGCCAAAGTTCTGTTTCCTCGCCCCTGCACTCCGCTACTTACTGCGACTCACCACCTTCGAAAGCCGTCAAACTCAACATTTCACAACTGAGCTTGATAATCCATCATCCATAATTACTTTAGCATCTATTTCTTCATATTTTTTTTCTGATCTCAACTTCTCCTTTAGCAAAAAGTAGAGGAGCTGCAGCGGAAGGAAATGGCGCTGCAGAAGAGAGGGTCAATGCCGCGAAATGATGAGCTGGATAGCGCCGAAATAATTGTTGCTGAGAAGCGATGCTATCATGGATTGGAGCTGATTGTATAAATGATGATCTGCGGAGTGCTTGAAAAGTTTACACAGAAGTAGCTAGCAGCAGCAGCAGCAACAACAGCAGACTGGAACTTCTGCTGTTGCTGGCTACTGCTGTGTAAACTTTTCGAGCGCTCCGCATATCATCCTCCCTACAATCAACTCCAATCCTTTTGACCTCACTCCTCGCAACAAGTATTTCTGCGCCATCCAGCTCATCATTTCGTGGCATTGACACTCTCCTCTACAGAGCCATTTCCTTCCCTACAACTCCTCTGTCTTCTGCCATTTTTTTTTTTTTAAATGAAATTAGAAGAAATAGATGAAGAAACAGATGCTAAAGTGATTAGGGATGATCGACTGTCAAACTCAGTTGTGAAAGATTGAGTTTGACAGCTTTCGAAGGTGGTGACTTGCAGTAAGTAGCACTGTGCCGGGCGAGGAAAAATAACTTTGGCCGATGATGTCGGCCACTGGGTGTGCACGTTCGACGGGGCACGCATTCCACTCACCACGTGGAGGCACTTGTATTTGGCCCAGACACATTAGAATGCTCTGCAGCTGCCCCAATTGCACCAGCAGCCAGTTGCCTTGCCCTAGATGTACCAGGCTACCAAGGCACGTGCGCCAGAAAGAGGGTTGAGACAGGAAAGGGATTGTCATTCCACTCACAGTGTTGCGGCACTTGTATTTGGCCCAGACCCGCCAGAATGCTCTGCAGCTGCGCCAACTGCACTGGGCCCCCTACTCTCCCACCAGCAGCAGCAGCAGCACCAGCACCACCAGGAGCACCAGGAGCAGGGGCGGCAGCATGAGAAGCATCAACGCCAGCAGCGCCAGCAGCACCAGCTGCAGAAACACTGCCTCTCAGGTCGCCAAGACCGGACGGCCCTTGTGGGCCTGCCGTCACGGCGCCACTGCTGCCGGCTGGTCTGTGTGGCAAGGCAAGAGAGGGAAGAGAGGAAAGGAAAGAAGTGATAACCATGTTGATTCTTCATGGAAAAAGAACCCCCCCTGTGAGTCTGCCGGCATGGCGCCACTGCTGTGGGCCGGTCTGTGGGGCAAAGCACGGCCAGGGATGATACTTTAAGAAGTGAAGGTTATGGTCGCTTCCTGCAGGGAAAGCAAGCAACCTCGTCAACACGCATATCTGCCTCTCCCAGATGGCCCTCCTTAGCCCCATCCCCTCCCCCGCATCCAATGGAAAAAGCTCCCTCCTAACTACCTGCGATGCTGAGCTGCTGTAGGCGCCTCATAAGATGGTGTGTCGCCATCAACATGCATATCTACCTCCCCCAGATGACCCTCTCCTGCCCCAGATGACCCTCTCCTTCCCCAGATGACCCTCTCCTCCCCCAGATGACCCTCTCCTCCCCCAGATGACCCTCTCCCCCCCCACATGCTATGACAGGAAAGTGCTTCCGATTATTGCTGTGCTACTGCAGGCGTCACATGCTGGTGGCTGTCCCCATCGTCATGCATATCCGCCTCCCCCAGATGACCCTCCCTAAATGACCGTCCTCCCTACCACCTACCTGGGCTGCTGTGCTGCTGCCGGGCCGGCGCCTGTCCTGTGAGCTGGTGGCTGTTCCCGTCATCATTCATATCCGCCTCCCCCAGATGGACCTCCTCCCCCACATACAATGGACAATGCTACCTAACGCCTACCTGGGTTGCTGTGCTGCAACGTCTTGTACAGCAGGCGCAAGTAAAGTGACTTTTGAGTCGACTCAAAAGTCATAACGCTTACCTGGGTTGCTGTGCTGCAACATCTTGTACAGCAGGCGCAAGCACCTGGTGGCTGTCCCCATCGTCATGCATATCCGCCTCCCCCAGGTGACCCTCCTCGTTCTCCGCGAAAGCATCTGCCTCTGAGTCCATCATTGCTGCATCCAGCACCCTGTCGTCCTCCTCCAATAGCCCTGCACGGAGAATTAGCACATGTATCGACCATCAATGGATGCACTGAAACACTCCATCAATGGATGCACTGAAACACTCCATCAATGGATGCTCTGAATCACACTTGCATAGCACACACAGTGAACATCAGCCTCTGAGCCCATCATTGCTGCATCCAGCACCCGGTCGTCCTCCTCTAGCAGCCCTGAATGGGGTCTCAGAACAGAACACACATACACACACATACACACACACATACACACATACACATACACACATACACACACACACACATACACACATACACACACACACATACACACACACATACACACATACACACACACACATACACACATACACACACACACATACACACACACATACACACATACACACACACACACATACACACATACACACACACACACATACACACATACACACGCACACATACACACATACACATACACACATACACACATGTGATGTGAATCATGTGGCCAAGTTCCAACCAGCACACAGGGGAAGCATCTGCTTCAGAGCCCATCATTGCCGCATCCAGTACCCTGTCGTCCTCCTCCAATAGCCCTGCGTTGCCTTGTTACATGTATCAGCAATATTAGACTCCACCAGAACACACATTACATTGGAGTGGATTGCTCACACACAAACACACATGAGGAGGAACGGCAACTGGCCAACACCGACTTACAAGCTTCATTCAGTATCCGGTTGACTTCGGAGCAATGCTTCTCGTCGTTGTGTGCCTTGGGCTCCTGAGGGAATAGTAAAGGGAGGATGGTGGAATGAGAGGAACGAAGGGTGGCATGGCAAGTAGATGCCCCAAAACTCAACAATGAACAGATAAACTCATGATATAAAAAACTACATTTTGTACTTCAGAATCAAGAAAGCACCAGATGAAGGGCCAGAACGATCGTGGAGAAGCAAGAAACGTGTGTGTGTTTTGGCAGGGTTTTAGGGTTCTTCCGACAGAATCTACAAGTTTCTGAAAAAGCAATCGAGCCCACCTGCAGCCAAAAGAAGAGCTTGCGGTCGTCGTCATTGAATGAAAGCACATATACTCGACCACTGGATTGGGACACCTGATGAGGTGAGAGATTGCATAAAGGAATGCAGATATGATAGACTCACTTTACAACACACCTCAGGAGATCCTGGGTGCCCAGTGGGCCCATACACTCTCCCACTGGACTGGGCCACCTTGTGCGGTGAATGAAGAGAAGTGCACCGCGTCAGGAGTACTTTGAGTCGGATGAAAAGTCACCTCAGGAGTTTTAGAATTTAGCGCCATCTTGAAAATCACCATGCCCTCCTAACCGACTTGAACCCTAAGTGGTGCGATCCAGCTATCAAGCACCTTGACATTCGTCACAGCATCCCAAGGAAAGACCATCCCCCAATGAAAGGGACGAGTGGCTTAAAAAACCCCACAACAAACGGCCAACAATGAGGCCCCAAAATCAAGGGCCCAGAATGAAGGCCCCGCAATCAAGGGCCAACATTGAAGGGCCACAATGAAGGGCCAACAATGAAGGGCCAACAATGAAGGGCCCACAATCAAAGGCCAAGAATGAAGGCCCCGCAATCAAGGGCCAACAATGAAGGGCCACAATGAAGGCCCCACAATGAAGGGCCAACAATGAAGGGCCCACAATCAAGGGCCAAGAATGAAGGCCCCGCAATCAAGGGCCAACAATGAAGAGCCACAATGAAGGGCCAACAATGAAGGGCCCACAATGAAGGGCCCACAATGAAGGGCCAACAATGAAGGGCCACAATGAAGGCCCCACAATGAAGGGCCCACAATGAAGGGCCCACAATGAAGGGCCCACAAGCAATGGCTCACAAACAAGGGCCCACAACTGACCCGAACCCCAGCTTGCCTTTTCGAATTTAGCTTCGTCTGGGAACACCACCATGTCCTCCTCCACGGCTTGAGTGGTGCGATCCAGCCACTGCAGATGCAGCAGTAGATCCTCCGTCTGGTGGGGAAAAAAGGCGACAAGGCTAGCAGGCAGTGAGGCAAGGGAAGAAAGACAACAGAGGTGCGATCCAGCCCCTGCAGGTGCAGCAGTAGGTCCTACGTCTGGAGGGGAGAAGGAGCGACAAGACAAGGGAGGCATAGAGTCAAGGGAGGAAAGAAGCCAGTGGTGAGATCCAGCCTCTACAGTTGCAGCAGCAGACCTACCGTCCGTTCTAGTGGATAAAAGGGCGACAAGACAAAGGAGGCGGTGGGGCAAGGGAAGAGAGACGAAAGTGGCACAGGAACAAGGATAAGATTTGATCTCTACGTATTCTCAATACGACCCCGGAACTGACCCTGATCAGTCGGAACAGGCCCTTGCGAGGGTCGGGTTTCACAGTGCTGCCGCTGACTGTCATCCTCCCAGCGCGAAACTCCAGCAGCACATCGCCGTCACTTGGTGCGTCAGTCTGCCACACAAATTACACGCATGGAGAGAGGAGAGCGAAGAGATCTATCAACCAGGAAAGCGGATGAGGTCTGGATGGGCAGCCATCCTCCCAGCGCGGAACTCCAACAGCACGTCGCCGTCACTCGGTGCGTCGGTCTGCCAAAGCGAGGCATTTAAAAAGAAAGGAGAGAACGACAAGGATCGACTAGACGGACGGATGCAGAGCGTCACCAAGGCGATCTCAATTGCGGACGGTAACGGATCCGTATCTAAATAAGCTGTATCTCTGTGAAGCGTCAATCTTAATAAGCTCTATCTCAAGGAAACGTCAATCTTAAAACGCTTTGTCTTAGTGAAGGGTCAGTTCAAGAACTTTCGCCAAAACCGGCACGGATCCGCAGCGGATTGCGTGAAAGGGACGGAATTTGCGAGGCATGCCTTATCTAGCCTGCTGACGCTAGCACCCTGCAAAGCACTATGGATCGGGGGCAGACAGCCTGAAAACGACAGGATTTGTGAGCTGTACCTCCATATTGAAAAATCACGCCGGTAAAGACGCGTCGCGTAGTAGAAAACGCAGTCGCACGCAGAACACTATCACCTGGTCAGTTGAGAAAAGTCACGCGCACAGCCGTAACGAAAGATCGCTACGCGATTATTTTTTCCGGAACAACACAAGCACGGCTGATCTCGCTGCCTACAGTCCGTTCCCCCGTTGTCTGACACACTTTCACGGAGTGTTGTAGCTGATCGCCGGCTTGGGCTTTTCCCAAGCTACTAAGAGAAATGGTATGGGGAAGTACCGTCACATAACGCCAAACGTTTCTAGCAGGTAACAAGAGGCAGGTACATCTAGCTGGTATGTTCTGTTTTCGCGAACCTTGAAAGCTGTTACTAACTGCAAAGCAGGGGTGAGCAGACGAAAGGTTGGCAAACGAGCGAAATTGACGAAACGAAACGATTCTCTTTGGTTACCGCGAGAGGAAGTTCCCTCCATCGCTGTGTCAGAACTGTTGGCCAATGAATCCCAAAGTTGTTCACTCACCATTTCGCGAATCGGGACTGCACTACACTTGGCATTTTGATGTTGCTGCAATTCTATGTATGTATGCAGAAGTCCGATCAAACTTGTACTGTTTTCGGCTAATGTAGCCAGTTCTGTGTGCGATGCATGGAAAGTGCAACCAGCCACGTTTTCTAGCTCAGAAGCCAAGCGGCGGAGGTTGGTCAAGGAGGTGCGGCACGAAAGTGGTTTGGTTTGGTATGGACGAGGGCGACAATGATTGGCCGATGGCATTGCACCTCGACCTTCCCTGCAGCTGCGCTTCGCCCGTTACACTGTTTCTCTCCGTTTTGTTCAGTGCTCCCCATCCCAGCCGTTCCCTCACTTTCGTCAATCCCGAAGCGATCTCAGCCGTTCCCACTCTTCAGTTTCTTCCAACTTTGGCCGTTGTGTTCCCTCCATTTCTCTCCAACCTGGTTCAAACTTCTGACTCTGTTCGACCTCCCCAGACCGACTTTCTTTAGAAGCTATTTGACCTACTACGGTCTAGGAATTAGCGTCCAATTGTCAGCTTTCACGCGTTTTCGATTGGCAAAGCGTTAGTAATAACGCTGTAGGTTAGGTCACTATCTTTGCTTCAACATACGCAAGCCTTTAGCTATGCGGATTGTATAGACACCTCGAGCATAGTAACTCGCTGAACAGACCTTCGTCAGCGAAAATGGTACGTTATTGCTTCAGGAACCAATTCGTTAATAATTATATTTTTTAGTTCTAACATGCTCTATTAACTCCTGATCGTGTAGGCCACGGCGAGCAACATAGTGGTGGGGTCGTACGTGTGGGTGGAAGACGCGCAGAAGGCATGGATGCCGGCAGAAGTACTCGGAGTAGACAGCAAGACGGTTACCGTCAAGATTGGACGGAAGGAGGTCCGTATTCTAGTCAGTTTCACGTATTCGACCCATATTTCGTCTATGTCGAGACCATTGTTCCTGCTGAGTACGCACGGCGCTGATCTTCTTTCCATTTGGAGGTCTCATCAGTCGTTAATCTCGTTAAAAGCTTCCTTCTCACCGCATATATCTTCACTTGAACACAATCGCTTCGGTTCCACCTCTGGCCACCCTGAAGTTAATTCCACGAACAACCCAAGAACCCGATTTCCGGTTCCATTCAAGGCTGCGAAACTCATTCATTCCCATTCTACCGCAGGCCACGTGCATCCCAAGGACCCCGACTTTGGCTTCTCTTATAAGGCTCGGAAACTCATTTCCTCCCATTCCACCGCAGTCCACCCTGAAGCTAACCCACGTGCATCCCAAGGACCCCGACGCGCCGAGTGGCGGGGTGGACGACATGACGAAGCTGGCGTACCTGCACGAGCCGGGCGTGCTGAGCAACCTCGCCACGAGATACGGGCTCGATGAGATCTACGTAAGAATGACAGTCCAGAGTCGAAATGTGTGTGAGACTGCCTATAGGAGATGTGTGTGTGTGTGTGTGTGTGTGTGTGTGTGTGTGTGTGTGTGTGTGTGTGTGTGTGCGTGACAAGCTGGCGTACCTGCACGAACCGGGCGTGCTCAGAAACCTCGCAACGCGATACGGCCTCGACGAAATTTATGTAAGGCACCTCCAGAGTCCACACGTGTTCCATGTGCGAGTGCCTAGACGAGATGTGTGTGAAATTCCACCCGGTGTGCTTAACAACCTCTCCACAAGGTACTGCCTTGACGAGTTCTTTAAAATGCTCAACAATAGTCCAGAGTCATGTGTGAGAGACTGCGAGACGAGGTGTGAGATACTGCGAGACGAGGTGTGAGAGACTGCGAGACAAGGTGTGAGAGACTGCGAGACGAGATGTGAGAGACTGCGAGACGAGATGTGAGAGACTGCGAGACGAGTTGTGAGAGACTGCGAGACGAGATGTGAGAGACTCAAGGTTCAAAAATACGGCAATCGTAAATTACGGTCCGTAATTTACGGTCGTATTTTACGGTGGTTTTGGCAAAAATACGGCCGTTTTTTTGTTGGAGTTTTGTTTGTACTTTTTTTTTCCTGAAAGTTCTAGGCAGCTTACAACGATGACAAGGAAGCCTACAAGAAACTACACTACACTACCTAGGCAAATCTGCACCTAATCCCTCCTCTTCCTCCATCCTACTCCTCCTCCACCTCCTACTCCTCATGCACCTCTCCTAATCCTCTCCTCCTCATCCTCCTCCTCCTCCCCACTCTCACCATCACTGCAGTCCCACGGCCGGACTGCCTTAGGACGCTTGGAGGGTCCTACCTCCCGCCCATTGCTCTCTGCCGCCTCCTCCTCCTCCTCCTCCTCCTCCTCCTCGTTCTCCTCATCCTCCTCCTCCTCCTCCTCCTCCTCCTCCTCCTCCTCCTCCTCCTCCTCCTCCTCCTCCTCCTCCTCCTCCTCCTCCTCCTCCTCCTCCTCCTCCTCCTCCTCCTTCTTTCCTCTCCCCTTCCGCTTGCATGGCCCCTTTCCCTTCTCCTTCCTCTTCCTCTTGGAGCTCTCTCCCGCGCGCTTCTTCTTCTTCTTCTTACCAATGCTCCCAAATACAGTCCAGTCGATGGTGCACTCTGCCACCTTGGCTCCCTCCTCCTCTTCAGCCCCACCTTCATCCTCTTCCACTGTTGCGGGCGGGGGCACGGCAATGCCCTCTTTGAGGGTTCCGTCGGTGAGATCAGCGTACAACTTCGCACGCGCCTGAGTTTTGCGATCAAACGCATCGCGGGCCCTCCTGGTGAAGGCCACGAAGGTGACATCAGTCATCTTCTTGGCCGCGATGCGGTTCCGATCCCGCCTTTGCACTCGTGCAAGGGCGGAAAAATACCGCTCCACCTCGGACGAGGTGACGGGCTGTGATAGGGTCGTCACAGCCAGTTCTTGGAGCGCTTGCACTTCCCCACCGAAAATCCACCACCACTCCGCATCCGTCATGCGCCCCCCCTCCACCAAGGTCTTGGCTGCCCATAGAGCGTCATCCGACCCGAGGCGGCCCTCACCCTTGTGGAACTGCACCAGCTGTGTCTGCAGCTTGATGCGCTGGGCAACATCCCCCCCCCGGGCCTGAATCACCTGGTCGGCCCCCTTCCTCACCTCCGCATCGGTTCTCACCTCCCCCGCGTACTGGTTGCGGGGATTAAGAAGCCATCCCAGGGCATGCAGGGGGTTGTGCAGTTGCCCGTCCCATCGCCGGGCAAGGATGCCCTTGATGGATGCCATGAAGGTGCTCTTGTCCTTGGCCAAGAGCAGGCCCGTCTTCTTGATGAATACCGCGGCTGCTCACGGTGAGGATGGAGGAGTTGATTGTTAACATAGGGAATGGCAAGCGCGGTTTAATCAAGCATGCATCACAGATTCGGAAGAAGGAATAGAAGTAAACATAAAAGAGATTTGCACTTACCGGCGACCTCTGCAGCTTCCCGTGTCTTGACCGTGATATCAATCATGAGGCCATAGATTTGGCCCATGACTTGTGCCCGCGTGTCAACCACCCTTAGCACTTCATAAACCGGCGTGAGGAGGCGGAGCACCGCAGAAACACAGTCCCAAAAGACGTCGTCTAGAAGAAGCGCCCGCACCTCCTGCCCTTCTTTCTTTTGCGCCACCGCCACCCCTTTCCATTCATCGCTGATGACCATGGCCTGGAGAGCCCTCTTCACCTCCAAGAAGCGGCGTATCATGATGACTTGAGTGCCGAACCGTGTCGCACCCGGCCGCACCAATGCAAGCTTGGTAAAAAGCTCGCGGAATAGAACGACGGCGGAGGCGCTGCCCTTGATCATCATGACGACTCGATGCACTTGCTCTAACACGCGTTTGACGGGCTTAACTTTCCCTAGGTCGTGAAGCATAAGATCCAAACAGTGGGCGGCGCAGTTCGCGAAAAAAACCGAGGGAAACTCCTCCTTAAGCTTCTCAGCCGCGGATCGATTGTTAGACGCGTTGTCCATGATGACCTGGACCACGAGGTCCTTCCCCACTTCGGAGATTGAGTTCCCGATGAGGCCCGCGAGGTAATCTCCTGTTTTCTTGGCGGTTTTCGAGTCCACGATGTCCACAATGACGGGCGCGGTGTCATTGTGGGCGATGACGCACACGATCCCGCGGGACCTCATGCACGTCCACCCGTCCACCGAGAGACTGCACCCGGTCGTCTTCCAACTCTCCTTCAACGGCCTTACAAGCTCCTCGGCGTCCGCCCTTAACTTGTCGAGGAGAGAGCCGGACACCTTGTAAGGGGTTGGGAGTGTGTAGGGCTTCGCGAACACGACCGCTGCGTACAAGCGGCGATTTGGAGACGTTGAAGGCTAGATCATTCTCTGCCACAACTGCCGCCCATAGGTAGTCCAAACGCGCGCGGGCAACGGTATCCGCCATATCGCGGATGTCCCGCTGCCTAGAACGCCTTGCGGGCTGCATCTCGACCGTGGTGGAGGTAGAGGCCCGGTTGGAACTGGATGGTGTGGAAGACCGATCCCTCTCGTCGGCTTCACGAAGCCGCTTGGCAATCTCGGACGGACACGGCGACACGTTCTTCTCCCTTGATCGAGGGGTCCCGTAGATGTGCTCTCTAATACGAGTGGCATTTGGCGTCACGGTAGCAGGGCAATAGCTGCATGTCGCGGTGACTACGCCGTTAGGAGATGTAACCTTCGTCACGTGCTCCCACACCTCCGAGAAAGGTCTAACCATGGTGGAATACCGCACTTGACTGAAGCTGTAAAATGCCTACTAAGATGTACTTGTCGAGTAGGTTTATCGCCCTGCTCTTTGTACCTTGCTAGACTTGGTTGTGTTGCTTTGGCGAACGGAAAAGGCAGAAGGGATGGGATGGGATGGGATGGAGATTGGACTAACGCTATTGGTCAAAATTGTTTCGCAGCGCAAAGTTGGGTTGTGTCGCGCACGCGGGCGAAAATAACGACGGGGCCGCGAATCGTCCCACCGACCTAACGAAACGGGTTGACGGGTGATAACGGTTCGCCAAATGTACAAATTACCGCATCGCGCAAATTTGTACATTTGCGCTTCGGCGAAATACACAAACTGACATTTCGTAAAGGCAACAGAGCAGCAAAACGTTCGCCAAAAAACCAAATGTCGCGCCTCGAGAAATACTCGACATGCGCGACTCGGGAAAAAAACAAACACGTGTGCATTTGGCAGCACGAATGTCTCAAACCCAGGGTGACGGTTGGGAAATGCCGAAATTCGCTATTGCAAACTCAGTATCAAATTCTCGGTCGTAATTTACGACCGTATTTTTAAAGCAGCATGAAATTACAATGATTGACCGTTTTTTACCGTAATTTACGACCGTAATTTACGATTCCGTAATTTACGGCAAATTTTCAAAAATACGGCCGTATTTTTGAACCTTGGAGAGACTGCGAGACGAGATGTGAGAGACTGCGAGACGAGATTTGTGTGGGCATAATCATACCTGCACCGCATCTGCAGACATACTCAGGCAGCATCCTGATTGCTGTGAGCCCTTTTCAACACCTCTCAATTGGGCCTGCCTTTGCCTTGTCTGCCCCTGCGTGCTTGTCGATTTTGACTTTTGCAGACATACACGGGCAACATCCTGATTGCGGTGAATCCGTTTCAGCGGCTGCCGCATCTGTACAGCCAGCCCATGATGGAGCAATACAAGGGCGTGCGCCTGGGCGAGCTCAGCCCGCATGTGTTTGCCATCGCAGAGACTGCTTACAGGTGGGCGCCTGACCGCGTGTGTGTGTGCGCGTGCGCCCTCGCGTGTGTGTTTATGTGTGCGCCCTCGCGCGTGTGTGTATGTGTGCGCAGATCTGTTTGTGCGTGCGTGTGGATGAGAGTGTGTTTGTGTGTTCATGTTTGTGTGTGTCTCAGCCAAAGCTCAATACTCTCCCCCCCCTCCCCTCTCATCGCTTTGAAAGACTGGATCAAGCCAGTCCATCCTGGTGAGAACCTGAGCGAACATCAATTCTTCCATCCATGCCCCACACACAATGCTCAACCATGTCCCCCCCACCTCCCTTCCCCCTCACCCCTCAGGGCCATGCTGGACTGTAGCGCCAGCCCAGCCAGTCCATCCTGGTGAGAAGATCAGCTTATGATGAAGTGCGACCCAGTCTCACATACCCCATCATACTGCCTTTTCCTCCCCCCCGCTCCTCAGGGCCATGCTGGACTGTGGGGAGAGCCAGCCAGTCCATCCTGGTGAGAAGATAAGCACACGATGAAGTGCGAACCAGTCTCCGATACCCATACCCCGATACCCTCTTTTCCTCCCTCTCCCAGGACCATGCTGGACTGTGGCGAGAGCCAGTCCATTCTGGTGAGCGGGGAGAGCGGGGCGGGCAAGACAGAGACAACGAAGCTCATCATGCAGTATCTGGCCTACATGGGCGGGCGGGCCACTGAGGGCCGATCCGTGGAAGCACAAGTGCTGGAGGTAGGCGTTTGGAGTGGTTTAAGTTGGCTGAAAACACATTTACAGGTATTGTACGGGATGGGAAGAGCGGGGCAGGCAAGACGGAGTCAACGAAGCTCATCATGCAGTACCTTGCTTACATGGGCGGGCAGGCAATCCGTGGAAGCACAAGTGCTGGAGGTGGGTGTGTGGGTGGTTGTCTCGTGTGTGTGGAGTGGATGTATGTGTACTAGAGAGGGCCGTACGTTTTTGGGTCAATGCGATCTGATGTGTGTGTGGGCTCAATGCACATATACTGTTGGTTGGGAGCAGTTGGGATTGGAGGGGTCGGTGCACTCTTCATCTCCCTAACCCTAATCTGTTGATTCAAGATTTTCCTGTTCCCCTCCTCCTTCTCTGGCTTTCTTTACTTCTCCCTCATTCTCTCACTCCCTCCTCATCTCCCTCCCGCCTCTCACCCCTCCCTCCCATCCCTTCCCTCCGTTCTATCCCTGCCCTCCCTCCCGTCCCTCCCTTCTTTCCAAATCATGCAGTCAAATCCCCTCCTAGAAGCCTTTGGAAATGCCAAGACAGTCAGGAACAACAACTCCAGGTTTGTCTTTGTTTCATCACCATTCCCTCCCTCAGCGGCTCCTCCTCCCTCCCCCTCTCCCCCCCCTCGTGACACCTCTCCTCTCCATTTCCCTGAGCCATCTCTGCACTTCCTAAGCGCCTCATTTCACCTCATCCTGCCTCATCACATCTCATCTCCCCTCACTCCCATCATCTTGCCTCATCACACCTCATCACCTCTCATCTCCCTTCAACTCATCCTCGCTGCTGTCACCCAGTGTTCGAGCTTCTCATACAATACAACACTGCAAACTGCAAGCTTTTTACAGCTTATGCCACACCGCTCCATCCCGTAACCTGACCTTTTCCCTACAACCTCCTCCCCTTCTCCCCAAACCTGATTCCCGAACCTCTGTATCCAAATCGCACCAGCCGGTTTGGCAAGTTTGTGGAGATCCAGTTTGATGCGGCGGGGCGAATATCGGGGGCAGCAGTGCGGACGTACCTGCTAGAGCGATCCAGAGTGGTGCAGACCTCTGATCCTGAGCGCAACTACCACTGCTTCTACCAGCTCTGTGCCGGTGCCACCCCTGAGGTATGTTTTGGGGCGTCTTCTAACGAGTAGTTTGCTAAGTGCTGCTGTTGGCCTCTGACTCTTAGGGCATATCTCACTTCGGGTCATAGAAGCACTTTGGGTCATAGGAGGACCAATAGTATTCCAGGAGTGTAGCTGAAATACGCCTTATTGGTCGTCCAAGAATCTCGGATGACCCAAACAGTGCCTATGACCTGAACTGAGGTACGCCCTTAGTGCGGCGCAACTGCCACTGCTTCTACCAGCTCTGTGCTGGCGCCATGCCTGAAGTGCAGTGAGCATGCTCGACGTTTTCTGCCTTACGGTGTTTTTCTTGATGGTTCCTGTGCTTTCTCGCATCTCCTGTCTTGATATGAGCTGCTTTAGTGCTACACTTAGTACGAGTCAACGCAATGGAAGCTACCAGTCCAGTGCTTCCTCTCCCAGAAATCGTGTTTTGAGCTGACGAGATACAGCAACAACGCGGACGATTGTGCCATCTGAGTCAACTCAAACTCTCTCTTGTTTCTTCCCACCTCCCTTGTCCTCGCTCCAATACCTGTCGTGTATGTTTCAGGAAGCAGCAAAATTAAAGCTCGCCCCCCCAGAGACGTTCCACTACCTCAACCAGAGTTCCTGCTTTGAGCTAACTGGGTACAGCAACAACGCTGACGAGTATGCTGCCACCCGCAGAGCCATGGACGTGGTGGGGCTCAGCCATCTGGAGCAGGTGAGAGCGGTTGACAGTGGTTGAAAGCGGTTGAGAGCGGTGGCAACACGGAACACCCCCTGTTCCCGACCAGAGCTCGTGCTTCGAGCTGACTGGATACAGAAATAATGCGGACGAGTATGCTGCCCTGCCACCCGCAGAGCCATGGACGTGGTGGGGCTCAGCCACCTGGAGCAGGTGAGAGCGGTTGAAAGTGGTTGAGAGCAGGTGAGAGCGGTTGAAAGCGGTGCTGAGGGGCGAGTTAGCGAAACACACTAAAGAGATCCGCCCACTGCATGCAACAACGCGGACGAGTATGCTGCCACTCGCAGAGCCATTGACGTGGTGGGGCTCAGCCACAGGAACAGGTGAGACAGACGGGTTGAGAGTGGTTGAGTGCGGTGGAGGCTTCTTTCTGTTCCATGCAGCAACGCAGATGGGTATGCCACGACCCTCCTCCGGGTCTACCCTTCCCCCCCATCCCTCCGCCTGTTCTCTCTTCCACGAAGCCTCTGTTCAGTGGTGGCATTGGGGGAACGTCCCCGTCGCCCCGGGCAAGCATGAACCTTTAGCCATCTGGGAACGTGCTGCTGTCCCTCCCATTCCACCTCTCACCTCACCGCCCCCCATTGCTTCCGTTCTCCACCAGGACGCCATCTTCTGGGTGGTGGTGGCCATTCTTCACCCGAGGAACATCTCCGTCGCTCCAGGCAAGCTGGAGCTACTACGCCAGCTCCTATGAACTTCATCCCCCATCCCCCATCCCCCCTTTCCCCTCTCTCTCCCCACCAGGACGCCATTTTCCGAGTGGTGGCAGCAATCCTGCACCTGGGCAACATCTCGTTTGCCCCAGGCAAGCAGCCCGACTCATCCAAGGTGTCGGGCGACAAGGCCAAGTTCCACCTGGAAGCAGCAGCGGAGCTCCTTGGGTAAGACTAGGAGGGAGGGTTGTAGTGCGTGTGCATCGTACCGGCACGGGGTGGGTGCATTTGGTGCCCTGGGGGGCTGGTTGGTTCTTCAGTGGTCGCAATTTGGGCAAACAAGCAGCCAGACTCGTCCAAGGTACTAGGGGACAAGGCCAAGTTCCACCTCGAGGCAGCAGCGGAGCTCCTTGGGTAAGTAGCCGAGCTTTTATGTGCAGCAGGTTGGTGCTCTGGTGGGTAGGTCGGTGCCTCAGCGGTCACAACAACCAGGGTAGGGGGACAAGCAGCCCGACTCGTCCAAGGTGTCGGGCGACAAGGCCAAGTTCTACTTGGAAGCAGCGGCAGAGCTCCTCGGGTAAGTATCGAGCTTTCCATGTGCAGTGGGTTGGTCTCTGGTAGGTGCTCACATGCAAGCAGCCGGACTCGTCCAAGGTGTCGGGCGACAAGGCCAAGTTCCACCTGGAAGCAGCGGCAGAGCTCCTCGGGTAAGTAGCGAGCTTTCCATGTGCAGTGGGTCGGTCTCTGGTAGGTGATCACATGCAAGCAGCCGGACTCGTCCAAGGTGTTGGGCGACAAGGCCAAGTTCCACCTGGAAGCAGCGGCAGAGCTCCTCAGGTAAGTAGCGAGCTTTCCATGTGCAGTGGGTCTGTCTCTGGTAGGTGCTCACATGCAAGCAGCCGGACTCGTCCAAGGTGTCGGGCGACAAGGCCAAGTTCCACCTGGAAGCAGCGGCAGAGCTTCTCGGGTAAGTAGCGAGCTTTCCATGTGCAGTGGGTCGGTCTCTGGTAGGTGCTCACATGCAAGCAGCCGGACTCGTCCAAGGTGTCGGGCGACAAGGCCAAGTTCCACCTGGAGGCAGCAGCGGAGCTCCTCGGGTAAGGCTAAGAGGGAGGGTTTCAGTGCTTGTGCATCGTGCAGGCACGGGAGTGTGCATCTGGTGCTCTGGTAGGCTGGTTGGTACTTGAGCTCAGTGGTCACAATCGGGGCAGGCAAGCAGCCGGACTCATCGAAGGTGTCGGGCGACAAGGCCAAGTTCCACCTGGATGCAGCAGCAGAGCTCCTTGGGTAAGCAGAGGGAGGTCAGGTGTAGGGCATGCTTGAGCGCGTTTTATTCCCATGATCCATCCCATCACAACCGCTGCTCGTCCAAGGTGTCAGGCGACAAGGCCAAGTTCCACCTAGAGGCCAGGTCTGTTGACACCTCTTCAAGATCGCGTTGTCAACATCACGCACACTGTTGACACCTCTGCACCTCTGTTCAAGATCACACGCACGCTATTGACACGCGGCAGCAACATCAAGAGAGAGTTGATGCGTATGCTGTGCTCTCCTGTGCCCTCACCCCCTTTCCTATTCAACTACAGGTGTGACCGGCGGGCATTGCGGGAGTCGCTGATCACTCGCACGCTGGTGACTCGCGACGGGAACATCAAGAGGGAGTTGGATCCGGCAGCAGCAGTGATCAGCCGAGACACACTGGCTAAGACAATCTACTCCAAGCTCTTTGACTGGTAGGTCTTGATCCATGTGTGCAGGGGTGTGGTGTGTGGTGGTGTGCGGTTTGTGTGTGTTTGGTGTGTGTTTTATGTGTGTGTGGTATGTGGTGTGGCAGCAGCGGTGTTCATCAGAGACACGCTCGCCAAGACTATCTACTCGAAGCTGTTTGATTGGTGGGTCATGCTGCATCCGTGAAGGTGTGTAGTGTGTGGGTGGACTCTGTGTCTCTTTGGTGTGTTGTGTGTTCTGGACCCAGCATCAGCGGTGATCAGCAGTGATCAGCAGAGACACGCTCGCCAAGACCATCTACTCGAAGCTGTTTGATTGGTGGGTCATGCTGCATCCGTGAAGGTGTGTAGTGTGTGGGTGGACTCTGTGTCTCTTTGGTGTGTTGTGTGTTCTGGACCCAGCATCAGCGGTGATCAGCAGTGATCAGCAGAGACACGCTCGCCAAGACCATCTACTCCAAGCTGTTCGACTGGTGAGTCTTGACGCATGCGTGCAGGTGTGTGGTGGTGGTGTGCGGTTTGTGTGTGTTTTGTGTGTGTGTGGCATGTCAAGAGGGAGTTGGACCCGGCAGCAGCAATGATCAGCAGAGACACGCTCGCCAGGACCATTATCGGTGTGATGGATGGATGTCTAATGGCGCCTCGTTCCCCCTCTTCCTCCCAAACCCACCATCATCATCATATCTCGTCCCCCTCTAATCCCACCAGGCTGGTGCACAAGGTGAATGTGTCAATCGGCCAGGACCCCCGCGCCAAGTCCATCATGGTGTGGTGGATGGTGGTGGATGTTCTATGGCGCCCCCTCCCCCCTCTTCCTCTCAAACCCACCATCATCATCATCTCTCGCCCCCCTCTAATCCCACCACGTGAACGTGTCAATCGGCCAGGACCCCCGCGCCAAGTCCATCATCATCGGTGTGCTCAGTGCCTTATGACCTCCCTCTTTCCCTCTCGTCTAAGCGCTTCTCCCCATTCCCTATCACACCGTCTTCTCTACCCATCATCCCCACCAGGCTGGTGCACAAGGTGAACGTGTCTATCGGGCAGGACCCCCATGCCAAGTCCATCATTGGTGTGCTTGACATCTACGGCTTCGAGAGCTTCCAAACCAACAGGTGAGCTGCCGAACCAAAAGGTGAGCTACTTAACAGGTGGCTGCCAAACCAATAGGTGAGCTTTGGGAAGCTTTTAAGGCAGCAGGAGAGGCTTCTGAAAGTGCCCAAAACAACAGGGGAGGTGCATGCTTTTTCAATGCGGCTTTGTCAATCATGGAAAGGGATTGGTTAAGGCGCATGCTTCTGAAACTGCGTGCTGCTCGCGTGTCCTATGAAAACATATGCTTTTCCCCTGTGGTCTGTGCCTGTGCCTTGCTGTGCAGCTTTGAGCAGTTTTGTATCAACCTGGCAAACGAGAAGCTCCAACAACACTTCAACCAGGTTCGTATGCACATGGCTGTAGGATTGGTACGTGGGTGTAGATATGTTTTCGTTCTTTACATTTTTTTGATTGTGTGCCAGCCGATCAGAAACGTGTAGATACAGCTCTGCCTCAAGTTGGCTTACCTTGGGTTATTCCTCCATGTGTTGTCCACTTTTGAGATGTCTCAAAAGTTTTATTTTGCCTTAAGTTGGCTTACCTTGGCTTATTCCTCCATGTGTTGCCCATCCACGCCCCCTCCACCACCTTCAACTCATCAGCATGTGTTTAGGGTGGAGCCCGAAACCTTAAAGCCCGAAGCCCTTCAAGGTAGAGCCTGCAGTATATGAGAGAGCAAGTCTGTTGACTGATGGAACTGAGTTAACTCAAGTCAGTCAACCCTCCTGCTCTCGTCCCCTTCCATTCCCAGCATGTGTTCAAGGCAGAGGTGGAGGAGAGGAGTATCACAGCAAGGCCGAGATGAGAGGGAGGGTGGGAGTATTCCTTAGACATACTGAACCTTCAGCAACCCTCCTGTTGTTCCCAGCACGTGCTCAAGGCAGAGCAGGAGGGGAGGAGCACCACAGCGAGACCGTGCAGTGGATGCATTCGAGACTTAACCTTCCACCCACCCTCCTCTTATAATGTTCCCCTTATGCCCTTCTATGGCACTATCCAATGCCTCCTTTCCTGGTTCCCCTTCCCCTTCCCACTCCCCAGCACGTGTTCAAGGCAGAGCAGGAGGAGTATGAGAGCGAGGCGATAGACTGGATGACGTTGACGATTTGAGCCTCCACGTTTCCCCCCGCCAACCCCCCCTCCCCTCTCCCATCTCATCCTCTGCCCCGTCCCTCTGTCTGTCCCGATGCCCCGTTCCCTACTATTTCTCCAGCACATGTTCAAGGCAGAGCAGGAGGAGTATGAGAGCGAGGCAGCAGACTGAATACATTTGCTTTGAGAAACCACCCCCGTGTTCTTTGCCTGTGCCCCCTCCCCTCTCCATCTTCCCAGCACGTGTTCAAGGCAGAGCAGGAGGAGCATGAGAGCAAGGAAGGATGCCACTGGCTGGACTACGTTGCTTAGTTGATTGAAACCACCCTCCCTCCTCCTTGCCCTTCTACCGCTCCCCATTTCGCCAGCATGTGTTCAAGGCAGAGCAGGAGGAGTATGAGAGCGAGGCAATAGACTGGAGCTACATTGAGTTTGTGGACAACCAAGACGTGCTCGAGCTCATAGAGAAGGTACGGAGGCCTGTGATTGTAGGAGGTACGATGATCCGTTAGCCTGGTCCGTCAGCTTCCATAGAAAGATTTGATATAGGATTTTGAAACAGTATTTGAAGTGGGCATATTGATGTTCATATGCATGTTTTAACTCAGATGTCGCACAGATTTTCCATGTGGTGTCTTGTTTGATTCGTTGTCCTGTTTTTACCGCCTCTGCTTCGCAACTCGCTTCATTGCGAATGTGTCTTTCTCCCTTTCCTGATTCTTCCTTCACTGCACCTTCGTGTGCCGTTTTGTGCTATGCTGTCTCTGCTGTGCCGTGCTGTGCTGTGCTGTGCGGTTCTTTGTGATGCTGTGCGGTTGTTGTGTTGGCTGTCCTCCTTGGTTGCACTGTGCAGAAGCCAATGGGGATCATTGCTCTCCTGGACGAACAATGGTGAGAGAAAGGCCAGGGAGAAGTGATAGCTTCAATCATCGTCCTCTAGGAAATTTCTTTCTCTTTGTATATCTCTCCTTTTCCAATTTTGAGAATCCCCTAGACATGTCTTGCGGGCTTCCCCCCCACCCCCATCCCTTTCTCCCCCCCCCCCTTTCTTCTCTCCCCCCCCCCGCCCCCCGCATGCAGCATGTTCCCCAAGTCAAACCACAATACCTTTGCCCCCGTGTGTATATCCACTCTAGTGTGCACAGCATATTCCCAAAGTCCATCCAACCATGAGAGACCTTTGCCACAAAACATGTTTCATTTCAATATGTGTGCGCCACTCCCACCCGTACCTCCCCCTGCCCCTTTTGAATTTCCACTGCTTACAGCATGTTTCCCAAGTCCAACCACGAGACATTTGCCACGAAGCTTTACCAGACCGTGGGAGCACACCGGCGCTTTGACAAGCCCAAGCTCTCTCAGACCGACTTCACCATTGAGCATTACGCCGGCAAAGTGGGTGGGAGCTTGGGTGTTAGGGGCTAGGGTTTCGGGGTTAAGGCTTGGGGCATTCGGGGTTAAGGAGCCGCTTGTGGCCCTTCCGCAAGCCCAAGCTCTCTCAGACCGACCATTGAGCACAAAACCCAGCAAGGTGAGAGGGTTTGGGGGTTAGGGGCTAGGCTAGGACTCAGGCACCACCTGCCAGGTGTTGCAAGCAATTAGTCGTGCGGTTTCCCCATGCTACGTGTTCCCTCTCCCTCTGTCCTCCACATAACACACCAGGTGTCCTACCAGATGGTCCTGTTCCTGGAGAAGAGCAAGGACTACGCGGTGATGGATGGAGCACCAGCCGCTGCTGGGTTGTGATGTTGCGTGCCTTGCCTTGTGCTTCCCTTTCTCTCTGCTCTCGGCAGGTCACTTATCAGACCAGTCTGTACCTGGAGAAGAACAAGGGCTACGTGGTAATGGAGCACCAGGCTTGTCTTTCATGCATCTCAATCCTTCCTACTCTGCTTCTCGTGACCCTCTCCTGCCGGACCTGTTCCTGGAGAAGAACAAGGGCTACGCGGTGATGGAGCACCAGGCGCTGCAGTCTGTAGCATTGATACCCTTCTGTCACGTGTTCCCCCCCCCCCTCTCGCCTCCTCACCATACCAGGTCACATATCAAACGGACCTCTTTCTGGAGAAGAACAAGGACTATGTGGTGATGGAGCACCAGGCGCTGCTGGGAGCGTCAGTAGACCCCTTTGTGGCGGCACTCTTCCCCATGCCCTCGGGGGACAAGGCCAAGACCAAGTTCACGTCCCTGGGATCGGGATTCAAGGTGAGAGTGACATGGGATCATGGGATGCATGGTAAAAAAGGGAGGCAGTAGCGTCAGTAGACCCCTTTGTGGCGGCACTCTTCCCCATGCCCTCGGGCGACAAGGCCAAGACCAAGTTCACGTCCCTGGGATCGGGATTCAAGGTGAGAGTTACAGGGTTGTATGGTGAAAAAAGGGGGAATGATAGTAGCTGTAGAGGCCTGCTTTGTGGGGGCGCTCTTCCCATGCCCTTGGGGGACAAGGCCAAGACCAGGCTCACGTCTCTGGGATCGGGATTCAAAATGAGTTTGGGATGGGATGATGGTGAAAAGGCAGCGGTGATTGTAAGGCTAGAGGCCCCCTTTGTGGCCGCGCTTTCTTCCCTATGCCTTCAGGGGACAAGGCCAAGACCAAGTTCACGACCGTGGGATCAGGGTTCAAGGTGAGGTTGGAATGGGATGTATAGTGAAAAGAAAGGGGTGATGGTAAGATCGAGAGAGATCTTAGTTCTGGCAGCGCTCTTCCCCATGCCCTTCGGGCGACAAGGCCAAGACCAAGTTCACCTTGCTTGGCTCAGGGCTCAAGGTGAGTCTGTGGGATGTATGGTGAATGGGAGGAGGAGCAGTAGGGCCGTAGTACTTCCTTGTAGGAGATTTCTTCCCCAGCCCTCTCACGCCCTCGCTTGAGTCAGATGATGCAGCTGTACCACTATTTTATTCTCCTCTTTTTTTATGTGCACAGATAGTTGTTCGAGTTGCGGAATCCAAAGCTCAGGTTTGGGATTTGATGTTCAGGGTTACAGGACACCTTTCCTTCCAAAGCCGTTTGTCTCCTCTTCCACACTCACCTCAATCCATCCCACCTAAATCTCAATACTCCCCCCTCCCAGCAACAGCTGGCAGGGCTGGTGTTGACTCTGAGCCGCACTGTGTGCACTGTGCGGTGTGTGAAGCCCTTTTTCCCCACCTATCCCGTCCCACCCCCCAATGCACGCCTCACCCACCACCCACTGCCCCACTCTCCCCCCCCCCACCCAACCCCACACCCCCCCAGCAACAACTGGCAGAGCTGATGCCAACACTAAGCCACATGGACCCACACTACGTGCCACACTGTGTGAAGCCTCCTCTACCCCACTCTCCCCTCCCACCCCCTCACCCCCTCTTCTGGCAGCAACAACTGGCGGAGCTGATGTCAACGCTGAGCCACATGGATCCTCACTACGTGCGATGTGTGAAGCTCCGTTTACCCAATCTTGTGCCACTCCCCCCACCTCCCATTCCCCTCCTCACCTCTTCTGGCAGCAACAACTGGCGGAGCTGATGTCAACGCTGAGCCACATGGATCCTCACTACGTGCGATGTGTGAAGCTCCGTTTACCCAATCTTGTGCCACTCCCCCCACCTCCCATTCCCCTCCTCAACTCTTCTGGCAGCAACAACTGGCGGAGCTGATGTCAACACTAAGCCACATGGACCCACACTACGTGCGATGTGTGAAGCCCAACGGGCAGTACAAGCCGGGGTATTTTGAGAACCCGAGCGTCATCCACCAACTGAGATGCGGGGTGAGTTGAGTTGGGTCTTGTGTTAGGAGTTGATTTGAGTTGAGTTGAGTTGAGTTGATTTGAGTTGAGTTGAGTTGAGTTGAGTTGATTTGAGTTGAGTTGAGTTGAGTTGATTTGAGTTGAGTTGAGTTGAGTTGAGTTGAGTGAGTTGATTTGAGTTGAGTTGAGTTGATTTGAGTTGAGTTGAGTTGAGTTGATTTGAGTTGAGTTGAGTTGAGTTGAGTTGATTTGAGTTGATTTGAATTGAGTTGAGTTGAGTTGATTTGAGTTGAGTTGATTTGAGTTGATTTGAGTTGATTTGAGTTGAGTTGATTTGAGTTGATTTGAGTTGAGTTGAGTTGAGTTGAGTTGAGTTGAGTTGAGTTGAGTTGAGTTGAGTTGAGTTGGGTTGGGTTGAGTTGAGTTGAGTTGAGTTGAGTTGATTTGAGTTGAGTTGAGTTGAGTTGAGTTGAGTTTAGGACATTCGTCGCTCTAAAACCTGTGAAGTAGAGCACGCTGTGTGCTGAGAGCCAGCGAGCACATAGGCGCACGCACGCACACGTGGATTGGGATGCGCTTTGAGACATTCAGTAGCAGCAGCTCTCAAACATGTGCTTCAAATTTGGGATGCGACATGATGAGTAGTGCAGCCACTTCAATCCCTCCCTCATTCCTCTCATCCGTCTCATCACAGGGTATGCTGAAGGCCATTTGAATCAGCTGTGCGGGCTACCCACTTGCCGCCCTTCAACTAGTTTTGAGTCAGCTTACAACACTCACTTTTCACTCTCAACCACCCACGTCACTCTCTCACCCACCTCATGATCCTCATCACAGGGCGTGCTGGAGGCCATTCGAATCAGCTGTGCGGGCTACCCCACTCGCCGCCCCTTTGACGAGTTCCTCGACAGATTCTCTGTTCTCGCGCCGGACCTCTGTGATGGGAGAAGGTCAGTTCATAATAGCTGTCAGACGCAGACAGGTGGGCTGCGGAGGTCTGTCAGACGCAGACAGGTGGGAGAAGGTCAGTTCATAATCTTTGAAACGTTTCAGCTCCGTTGACGAGTTTCTTGACAGATTTCTCCATTCTCATGGCGGAATTTTGGTGTGGAAGACGTTGGATTCTCGACGACGAAGCTACGAGTTTGTTATCGAGACACTTGAGAACATTTTCTGTGCTCGCAGTGGACCTTTGTGTTTTGAGTCGACTCAAAACACGACCCATTACAGTGGACCTTAGTGATGGAACAGTTTTGAGGTGGCTCAAAACATTTTCCGTGCTCGCAGTGGACCTTTGTGATGGAACAAGGTCTGCCTGTGAGACCATACATACGAGGGGTCTGGCTTGTAATGGACACTGCCTGTCCACAAAGCAAGCCTTATGTTTCAAATCCGTGCTGCTCAGAAGCCACTCGTCTACCACGTCCCCCTCTCCGTCTCAGCTCTCCTGCACCCTGCTTCCCTTCTGCAAATGAGACAAGTCTGCCGCAACCCTCATGCGCCAATCGTCCTCTTTGTACTCCTAGTCTTGTCGCCATTCTTTTGTAGATGCCTTTCAGTTAGTTTTCCCGTGCTCCCCTGCTAACTCATTGCCTGCTTCCTGCTTCCCTTCGACCCTTCTTACCCTGCTTCCTGCTTCCCTTCGACCCTTCTTACCCTGCTTCCTGTTTCCCTTCTACCCTTCTTACCCTGCTTCCTGCTTCCCTTCGACCCTTCTTACCCTGCTTCCTACTTCCCTTCGACCCTTCTTACCCTGCTTCCTGCTTCCCTTCGACCCTTCTTACCCTGCTTCCTGCTTCCCTTTGACCCTTCTTACCATACTCCACGTCTGTTTTCCTTCTCCCCAACTGCAGATACGACGACAAGAGTGCCATTACCCTCATGCTGCAGCGACTGGGCTTCACCAACTTCCAGGTAACTTCCATTGCCGCAATCATACCCATTCAGATTCCAAACAGGTGGGCTTAGGTCGAGAAAGGATGGTGGGTGGGTATAGCTCGAAAAGAGGGTAATGGTGGGGGCAGGTGGGGATGAGGTATATCCCTTATGTAGCATCTCCGCTCCCTTACATCTTCCCATGTGAGGCGCTTCAATTCCCTCCCTTACACTCGACCCTTACACTCCACCCTCACTTCCCAATTAGACGGGCAGAACCAAGGAGTTTCTACGATCGGGGCAGATAGCAGACCGGGATGCACTGAGGGGTGGCAAGGCTTTTAGATGCTCTTAGACCTTCATCTCCCCTCCTCCCCTAACCCCCACCTGCCTCCCTTTCGAACAGGTGGGCAGGACCAAGGTGTTCCTACGGGCAGGGCAGATGGGGGACCTGGATGCTCTGAGGGCGGAGAGGCTTTCAGAGGCACCTAAAACTCTCCCCTCCCGCTCCTCCTCTTCTCCCCCTGCTCTCCCCATACCCTTCCCCTTGAACAGGTGGGGAGAACCAAGGTCTTTTTGAGAGCAGGGCAGATGGCGGACTTGGACGCACTGAGGGCGGAGAGGCTGGGGTGCGCAGCGCGGGTGATTCAGCGCGCGTGGGGGTCGTGGCGGCAGTTCATGCGGTTCAACATGCTGCGATGGGCCGTGATCCGCATACAGGCACGGTGGCGAGGTGAGGCATTGTGGGAGGGAGAGAACAAGTGGTTGTGACTCGCAAGCGAAGGAAAGCAAGAGAGGGGGTTGCATTGGCAGCAGTTCATGCGGTGCAACATGCTGCGGTGGGCTGTCATTAGAATGCAGGCGCGGTGGCAAGGTGACGCGCTACAGTGCCGTTCTTGCTGTCGCTGCTCTCACTCCTTGCTCTTCTCTTCATACCCGTTATCTCTCAACCTACTTTTGCTTCCCTCTCTCATCTCTACATTTTCTCTCCCGCCTCTCCCCCCTCCCCCTTCCTTCCTCGCCTCCAGGCCACCTGACTCGGCATTACTACAGCTGGTTATGCAAAGAACAAGCAGCAGTGACGATTCAGAAGCACGTGAGGCGATACACCACGCAGCTCGTCTACGAGCACACGCGCTACTGCACTGCTGCTGCTGCTCTCACTCACCCTCCTGTCCCTCCCTCTCTCCTTTCCTCTCCCTCCTCCCTCCTCCCTCCTCCCCCTCTGCTCTCCTCCCTTTCCCACTCCCTCTTCTCCCTCTGCTCTCCTCCCTTTCCCTGCTCTCTCTTCTCCCTCTGCTCTCCTCCCTATTCCTATCCTCCCCCCACCAGGTCACCTGACCAGGCAGTACTACAGCTGGCTGCGAGAAGAAGCGGCAGCAGTGACGATTCAGAAGCACGTGCGACGGTACACCACGCAGCTCGCCTACGAGCACACGCGCTACAGTGCCATCATCATCCAGGCGGCGTTCCGCGGCATGTTGTGCCGCAAGTGGGTGCGGGAGATCCGAGTGCAGCGGGCAGCAACGAGGATACAGGTTGGTTTGAGGGACGGAGGGGGGAGGGGAGAAGAGTGAACAGGATAGGATTCAGCGTCTTAGTAGTGTTAGCACGTTGTGCCGCAAGTGGGTGTGGGGGATGAGAGTGCAGCAAACGACAACAAGGATACAGGTTGGTTGGAAGAATGGGGTTGAGAGGGGACGGTAGAGGAGGGGGGAAGGGGAGAGAGGTGGGGAGGGGAGGGGAGGGAGAGTGAGAGGAGATGATGTAAATGTAAAGAATGATTGTTACTGTATCCTGCTTGCTTCCACCCTCCCCTGTTACTTATTTCCTGCAGGCGGCCTGGCGAGGCTATGTGGATCGAATGGACTTCCTTCGTGCGCGCTGGAGCGCTGTGGTCATTCAGAGCGTGTGGCGAGCGAGACAGGCACGCAGGCTGCTGAGACAACTGCGAGTGGTAAGCATAGCTGGCAGGCAGGCAGGCTCGCTTTGAGATACCTCAGAACGTGCCATGTTAATTCAGATCAGAGCGCGTGGAGGGCGAGACAGGTGCGCAGGCTGCTGAGGCAACTGTGAGTGGTGAGAGAAGGGGGTGGGGCTGTCATGCTGTTTGTCCAATGCGCCCAATCAGTCTTCTGCTGTCTTTTCCTCGTAATTTGGAGGACTGAGGCAATCAGGGGCGTCTTGCATTCCTGTCTGCTCTTCTTGTTCTCCACCCCCAATGCCCCAGAAGGAGGCCAGGCAGGCAGACAGGCAAACAGGCTCGAGGCAGCCCACGGAGCTATGTTTCAACATAGCTCGTTCTCAACCATTCCGGCCCAAGCCTGCCTCGCCCACAGAGACCATTCCTCTTTCTCCGTTGTCTTGGTAGGCGAGCCAGGCTGGGGCCGGAGGCCAAGTCGAAGCCGTATCAACATACCTGGTCCCTAGCTGCTTCTAATTTCCTCCTCTTCCCCTTGCCCCCCCTCTCCTCCCATCTTAACCCCTCCTTTCCCCTCTCCCAGGAGGCAAGGCAGGCAGGGGCGCTGAGGGAGGCCAAGTCGAAGCTGGAGAAGCAGCTAGAGGAGCTGACGTGGCGCCTGCAGCTGGAGAAGCGCATGCGGGTGAGGGGCGAGAATGTTGTGGATGGGTGGTCTGGGTTGTCTTGGGTGGGTGATAAATTGGTCTGTGTAGCGGATGCCGCTGGAGAAGCGAATACAAGCATGTGGGTGGGTTGAGAGTAATGTCGGTGGGATGTTGTGGTGAGTGGGTGAGATCAGTGAAATGCAGCCAGAGAGCCAGTGCTGTTTTAGTAGGAAGGCGATTGTGAGCCAGCTTTTGAGGTGGTATTGAATAAGATTTTCCTGTCTTAGTGTCAGGCTCCTGCTGCTTTCCATGCCTCGAGCATGCTGATCTGCTATTTTTTCCACCAACCCCGCCCATCAAATGCCCACCTGCTCCTCCTCATCCTGATTTTCCCCAAACCAGCTGGACCTAGAGGAGGCAAAGGCCGCCGAGATCCAACGGCTGCAAGCGCAAGTGGAAGATCTACGGTCCGAGCTCGACGACACACGAACCCGGCTAGAGAGCCAAGTAGACGACACCAGGCGGCAGCTAGACGAGTCCCAAGGCAGGCTAGAAGAAGCACAGGGGCGATTGGAGGAAGCACAAGCGAGGTTGGAGGAGGCACAGGGGAAGGTGGAACAGGCAGAGGCAGAGGTGCGGCAGCTGAGGGAGCAGAGCGAGCGAATGGCGGAGGAGAGTGCCAGGCTGGCGCAACAGCTGGCGGAGCGGCCAGTGGTGGCGGGTGCTGGTGGTGCTGGTGGTGGTGTTGGGAGTTGGGGGCGAGGGAGTGTGGAGTCTGGTAGAGGGGCGTCGGCTGCTGCTGCGTCTGTGTCATCAGCATCGTCAGCGAGAGCAGCAGGGGAGAGTGCGGGGAGACCTGCTGGGGAGGGTGATGGCGAGGTGAGCTGGGATGAACATTTATGACTGACGCTGAGGCTCGCTTGAGAATCTGTTTAGCTTGCGACTGAATGTGCGCTATGAGGCGTGAGGACTGAGACTTGATCAATCGCCTCTCGTTGCTCCTCCACTCCTTTGTTCCCCTACCCTCCCACCCTCTGCGAGACTGCTCCCCCCTAGTTGCAGCAGGAGAATGTGCAACTCGCATCGCTGCTGGCAAGGAGTTGAGACAAGATCAATCACCTCCTGTTCATCCTCTCCCATCGTGCCGTTTTTCACCCCACAGCTGCAGCAGGAGAACGTGCAGCTCAAGTCGCTGTTGGCAGAATCAAAGGGGCGTCTGGCTCGTTACGAGGCCGAGGTGGCCGGGCAGGTGAGACTTTTCTGACAGAGGTGGTTGGGCAGGTGAGACTTTTCTGGCAGAGGTGGTTGGGCAGGTGAGAGTTTTCTGGCAGAGGTGGTTGGGCAGGTGAGTCTTTCTGGCAGAGGTGGTCGGGCAGGTGAGATTTTTCAGGCAGTGGTGGCCGGGAAGGTGAGAGTTAGGGCAAAGGTGGCCGGGCAGGCGAGAGGTGGGTGGGAAGGTGAAAGTTAGGGGCAGAGGTGGCTGGGCAGGTAAGTTAGAGGCTGAGAGATAATCTGCTGCAGTTGCCAACGGGTAGCATAGCATGTCTGTGTTCTCATGTGAGTGTGCACACATTAATATATACCTGTTTCTGGCGTGCTTGTGTATGTGTGCTTGCTCACTTGTTCTTGTTCATGTTTGCTTGTTCATCTTTGCTTGTTCATGTTTGCTTGTTCATGTTTGCTTGTTCATGTGTGGTTGTGCACGTCTGCTTCTGCATTTGCATCTGCCCCCGCAGGTACAGGAGAAGACAGCACGGAGCGAGCGGGAATTGGAGCAGACCCAAGCGGATCTAAAGCGAGTACAGGAGCTTTACTCGCGGATGGAGAGAGAAAACCAAGCACTGCGGCAGCAGCAAGCACTCTCAGGCCCAGACAGAGGAGGAGGCGGAGGAGCAGCAGTGGGAGCAGGGAGAAATGGAGAGCAAGGAGCAGCAGGGGCTTTGGCGGTGCAATCCCCGCAGCAAAACGGGCTGGCCCCCAGCCTGGGCTTTGGATCACCGAGCCAGAGCCATGGGTCGTCGAGCCAGAGGCTCGGGTCGCCGGACTCTCCTGTCCCGTTGGCGCTCACCCCGGCGAGTGGGAACGGCAGCAGAGGGGGAGTGGCGGGAATGTCGCCTCTGGGGAGCGTGTCTGGTGAAGGAGGGGAGAGCAGGTGGTTTTATCGCGTGCAGTCTGAACGGCACTCGGTGAGTGGAAAGGGCAGCAGGGGGGTTGTGGTGGGATGGCAGAAGAGGGGGATTGGCGGGGATGTCGCCGCTGGGAAGTGGTTCAGGGGAAGGGGGTGAGAGCAGGCGGTTCTATCGCATGCAGTCCGAGCGGCACTCGGTGAGTGGAAAGCAGGAAAGAGGGGTTTGGAAAAAATAGTTCTATCAGGCTGAAAGAATACAGCAACTGATTCTTTGCTCACCCTCCCTCCTTACCTCCTTTCCCCCTCTTCCTTGCCCTGCTGCCCTGATCACAGCAAGAGCAGGAAACACTGCTAAAGGCCCTCTCAGCCACCAGTTTAGGCTACAGCAACAAACGCCGCCTAGCCGCCGGCATAGTCTACAAATGCCTTGCACTGGCAGGCATTTGAAGCCAAAATAACATAGCACCTTTCCCCCTTTTCTCACCCTTCCCCTCTCTGCTCCTACCACCCTCCATCCCTCCTCTCGTCTCCCCCCGCTCCCTTAACCTGGTTCCCTAATTACAGCAAGAGCAGGAGGCATTATTGAAGGCCCTCTCAGCCACGAGTCTCGGCTACAGCAACAAACGCCCCCTAGCCGCCTGCATAGTCTACAAATGCCTCCTGCACTGGCGGGCATTTGAAGCCGAGCGAACAAGCATTTTCGACCGAATCAACCGCACTATCAGATCAGCTGTTGAGGAGGATGATAAGGCGCTGGCAGCACTGGGGAGTGGAGGGGTGCTGAGCGGTGGAGGGGGGTTGGGAGGGAAGAGCATGGGGCGGCTGGCGTATTGGCTGTCCAACACTTCGTGCCTGCTGGTACTGCTGCAGCGGACGCTCAAGGCCAGTGGGGGGGGGCAGGCTGGGCCGTCAGGGAGGAGGAGAAGTGCGCAAGGAGGGGGGACTAGTGGGAGGATGGCTCAGATGGGCCCTCAAATGGGATATCCGCCGTCCCCCCCTCTGCCGGATGGGTCAAGCTCGTTGAAACTGGTAGAAGCCAAGTACCCCGCGCTGCTGTTTCGGCAGCAGCTCACCGCGTATGTGGAGAAGGTGTTTGGGCTGATCAGAGACAACCTCAAGCGGGACATCTCGCCCATCCTGGGGCAGTGCATTCAGGTGGGTTTAAGCCTGGGCTGTGCATTCAGGTGGGTTTAAGCCTGGGCTGTGCATTCAGGTGGGTTTAAGCCTGGGCTGTGCATTCAGGTGGGTTTAAGCCTGGGCTGTGCGTTTAGGTAGAGTTCGGGTCATTGGTGGGCAGTTGGGTGGGAGGGGTTAGGGTGCTGTTTCCCGCAGCAGCTGACCACGTATGTGGAGAAGGTGTTTGGGCTGATCGTTGTCACTCATGGTGGAAGGGCAGCAGTGCTGACGCCGAGCAGATCGTCACCAACTCTTGCCTCGTCAAGGTGAGAGAAGAAGGACCCTCATGCACCCCTTAGGACCCTCATGCACCCCTTAGGACCCTCATGCACCCCGTAGGACCCTCATGCACCCCTTAGGACCCACGCTTTAGCAAGTAAGAAAAAGAGTAAAAATTCCCTAGGCTAAGAAAACTCTTATCGCAAGAACTGTATTCACTCAATCAGAACAGGTCGCAAACATGTTTCGGCAAGGCGGGAGAACCCGTCAAGCCTTCATCAGTGCTTCTGAACACAAAGAGATCCAACAGCTAGGCATAGGCGAAGTAATCAACCTACACCGCAAACAGAATTCAAGGTTCCCATCCACCCAGATTGCCTATCCATGGGCATTCGCCAACACAACACTGGGTAAAAACCCAAGGTTACAAGTGTCAGCCTTCCGTGGTGTCTTCGTCAGGGCTATCGATAAGCCTTGGAACCTTCGCTCGCACGAGTAACTTTTGCAAGTTACGTGCACACCTCCATGCAATGTTTACATTCCCCGTATAAAAACCGCGTGAACTGAGACGATTTTTTAGGCGCCTCAAAAATCTGACTGCGTATGTGGAGAAGGTGTTTGGGCTGATCAGAGACAACCTCAAGCGGGACATCTTGCCCATCCTGGGGCAGTGCATTCAGGTGGGTTTAAGCCTGGGCTGTGCATTCAGGTGGGCTGTGCATTCAGGTGCCCATCCTGGGGCTGTGCATTCAGGTGTGATTGATTGTGAACGGCATTTAGGTAAGGGGTGTGATTGATTGTGAACGGCATTTAGGTAAGGGGTGTGATTGATTGTGAACGGCATTGAGGTAAGGGGTGCGATTGATTGTGAACGGCATTTAGGTAAGGGGTGTGATTGATTGTGAACGGCATTTAGGTAAGGGGTGTGATTGATTGTGAACGGCATTGAGGTAAGGGGTGTGATTGATTGTGAACGGCATTGAGGTAAGGGGTGTGATTGATTGTGAACGGCATTGAGGTAAGGGGTGTGATTGATTGTGAACGGCATTGAGGTAAGGGGTGTGATTGATTGTGAACGGCATTTAGGTAAGGGGTGTGATTGATTGTGAACGGCATTGAGGTAAGGGGTGTGATTGATTGTGAACGGCATTTAGGTAAGGGGTGCGATTGATTGTGAACGGCATTTAGGTAAGGGGTGTGATTGATTGTGAACTGCATTTAGGTAAGGGGTGTGATTGATTGTGAACGGCATTGAGGTAAGGGGTGTGATTGATTGTGAACGGCATTGAGGTAAGGGGTGTGATTGATTGTGAACGGCATTGAGGTAAGGGGTGTGATTGATTGTGAACGGCATTGAGGTAAGGGGTGTGATTGATTGTGAACGGCATTTAGGTAAGGGGTGTGATTGATTGTGAACGGCATCGAGGTAAGGGGTGTGATTGATTGTGAACGGCATTGAGGTAAGGGGTGTGATTGATTGTGAACGGCATTGAGGTGAGGGGTGTGATTGATTGTGAACGGCATTTAGGTAAGGGGTGTGATTGATTGTGAACGGCATTGAGGTAAGGGGTGTGATTGATTGTGAACGGCATTGATGTAAGGGGTGTGATTGATTGTGAACGGCATTGAGGTAAGGGGTGTGATTGATTGTGAACGGCATTGAGGTAAGGGGTGTGATTGATTGTGAACGGCATTGAGGTAAGGGGTGTGATTGATTGTGAACGGCATTGAGGTAAGGGGTGTGATTGATTGTGAACGGCATTGAGGTAAGGGGTGTGATTGATTGTGAACGGCATTGAGGTAAGGGGTGTGATTGATTGTGAACGGCATTTAGGTAAGGGGTGTGATTGATTGTGAACGGCATTGAGGTAAGGGGTGTGATTGATTGTGAACGGCATTGAGGTAAGGGGTGTGATTGATTGTGAACGGCATTGAGGTGAGGGGTGTGATTGATTGTGAACGGCATTTAGGTAAGGGGTGTGATTGATTGTGAACGGCATTGAGGTAAGGGGTGTGATTGATTGTGAACGGCATTGAGGTAAGGGGTGTGATTGATTGTGAACGGCATTGAGGTAAGGGGTGTGATTGATTGTGAACGGCATTGAGGTAAGGGGTGTGATTGATCGTGAACGGTATTGAGGTAAGGGGTGTGACTGATTGTGAACGGCATTTAGGTAAGGGGTGTGATTGATTGTGAACGGCATTGAGGTAAGGGGTGTGATTGATTGTGAACGGCATTGAGGTAAGGGGTGTGATTGATTGTGAACGGCATTGAGGTAAGGGGTGTGATTGATTGTGAACGGCATTGAGGTGAGGGGTGTGATTGATTGTGAACGGCATTGAGGTAAGGGGTGTGATTGATTGTGAACGGCATTTAGGTAAGGGGTGTGATTGATTGTGAACGGCATTGAGGTAAGGGGTGTGATTGATTGTGAACGGCATTGATGTAAGGGGTGTGATTGATTGTGAACGGCATTGAGGTAAGGGGTGTGATTGATTGTGAACGGCATTGAGGTAAGGGGTGTGATTGATTGTGAACGGCATTTAGGTAAGGGGTGCGATTGATTGTGAACGGCATTTAGGTAAGGGGTGTGATTGATTGTGAACGGCATTTAGGTAAGGGGTGTGATTGATTGTGAACGGCATTGAGGTAAGGGGTGTGATTGATTGTGAACGGCATTTAGGTAAGGGGTGCGATTGATTGTGAACGGCATTTAGGTAAGGGGTGTGATTGATTGTGAACGGCATTTAGGTAAGGGGTGTGATTGATTGTGAACGGCATTGAGGTAAGGGGTGTGATTGATTGTGAACGGCATTGAGGTAAGGGGTGTGATTGATTGTGAACGGCATTGAGGTAAGGGGTGTGATTTATTGTGAACGGCATTGAGGTAAGGGGTGTGATTGATTGTGAACGGCATTGAGGTAAGGGGTGTGATTGATTGTGAACGGCATTTAGGTAAGGGGTGTGATTGATTGTGAACGGCATTGAGGTAAGGGGTGTGATTGATTGTGAACGGCATTGAGGTAAGGGGTGTGATTGATTGTGAACGGCATTTAGGTAAGGGGTGTGATTGATTGTGAACGGCATTGAGGTAAGGGGTGTGATTGATTGTGAACGGCATTGATGTAAGGGGTGTGATTGATTGTGAACGGCATTGAGGTAAGGGGTGTGATTGATTGTGAACGGCATTGAGGTAAGGGGTGTGATTGATTGTGAACGGCATTGAGGTAAGGGGTGTGATTGATTGTGAACGGCATTTAGGTAAGGGGTGTGATTGATTGTGAACGGCATCGAGGTAAGGGGTGTGATTGATTGTGAACGGCATTGAGGTAAGGGGTGTGATTGATTGTGAACGGCATTGAGGTGAGGGGTGTGATTGATTGTGAACGGCATTTAGGTAAGGGGTGTGATTGATTGTGAACGGCATTGAGGTAAGGGGTGTGATTGATTGTGAACGGCATTGAGGTAAGGGGTGTGATTGATTGTGAACGGCATTTAGGTAAGGGGTGTGATTGATTGTGAACGGCATTGAGGTAAGGGGTGTGATTGATTGTGAACGGCATTTAGGTAAGGGGTGTGATTGATTGTGAACGGCATTTAGGTAAGGGGTGTGATTGATTGTGAACGGCATTGATGTAAGGGGTGTGATTGATTGTGAACGGCATTGAGGTAAGGGGTGTGATTGATTGTGAACGGCATTGAGGTAAGGGGTGTGATTGATTGTGAACGGCATTGAGGTAAGGGGTGTGATTGATTGTGAACGGCATTGAGGTAAGGGGTGTGATTGATTGTGAACGGCATTGAGGTAAGGGGTGTGATTGATTGTGAACGGCATTGAGGTAAGGGGTGTGATTGATTGTGAACGGCATTGAGGTAAGGGGTGTGATTGATTGTGAACGGCATTGAGGTAAGGGGTGTGATTGATCGTGAACGGCATTGAGGTAAGGGGTGTGATTGATTGTGAACGGCATTTAGGTAAGGGGTGTGATTGATTGTGAACGGCATTGAGGTAAGGGGTGTGATTGATTGTGAACGGCATTGAGGTAAGGGGTGTGATTGATTGTGAACGGCATTTAGGTAAGGGGTGTGATTGATTGTGAACGGCATTGAGGTAAGGGGTGTGATTGATTGTGAACGGCATTGATGTAAGGGGTGTGATTGATTGTGAACGGCATTGAGGTAAGGGGTGTGATTGATTGTGAACGGCATTTAGGTAAGGGGTGTGATTGATTGTGAACGGCATTGAGGTAAGGGGTGTGATTGATTGTGAACGGCATTTAGGTAAGGGGTGCGATTGATTGTGAACGGCATTTAGGTAAGGGGTGTGATTGATTGTGAACGGCATTTAGGTAAGGGGTGTGATTGATTGTGAACGGCATTGAGGTAAGGGGTGTGATTGATTGTGAACGGCATTGAGGTAAGGGGTGTGATTGATTGTGAACGGCATTGAGGTAAGGGGTGTGATTTATTGTGAACGGCATTGAGGTAAGGGGTGTGATTGATTGTGAACGGCATTGAGGTAAGGGGTGTGATTGATTGTGAACGGCATTTAGGTAAGGGGTGTGATTGATTGTTAACGGCATTGAGGTAAGGGGTGTGATTGATTGTGAACGGCATTTAGGTAAGGGGTGTGATTGATTGTTAACGGCATTGAGGTAAGGGGTGTGATTGATTGTGAACGGCATTGAGGTAAGGGGTGTGATTGATCGTGAACGGCATTGAGGTAAGGGGTGTGATTGATTGTGAACGGCATTTAGGTAAGGGGTGTGATTCATTGTGAACGGCATTGAGGTAAGGG